TATGCTGAAAAGATCCAACAGCATTCTCCATTTCTGCAAAATGAACAAGATTGTTCTGCTCAAGGACATCCAATGACCCAGCCTATTCAGTGCTTGAAGGTGATGGTGGTGGTAGATACAATACGGGGCCTGATTTTAATGGTTTGCTGTCCTTGGTGTGGGAAACGCTTTTTGAAAATAAAAATAAATAAATCTTAATTGAACAACCATCACTTGTGTGATGTAAATGTATGAAGAACAATTTTGATGCTGATATTATTGCAAACTGTGGTCCTAAATACTGCCATAGAATATAACTAAAACCTAAATGAAAGGTATCCCATTTCTGTGCTGGTGTAGGTTGGATTCCACTCTCCTTACCAACAAAATGTATAAACTGGTGTTTCTCAACCAGTTGGCAAATTTCAGGTGTGTTATACATCTGAAAGCTGCTAGGGTTGAGAAACACTGGTGACCTTCATAGTGAGGATAAGTGAGACTTGGTCAGATACACATTCATCCACACCCTAGTTATCTCCTGATCATCCTAGACCAAGCCAAGTCCAAATATGCTAGACAATTCCTAGAAGCTTGGCACTAAGAAATTAGTCACCAATAGACACATAGACATAATCCAGACCTAACATACTGTGCAAAAGAGACAATCAACAAGCCAAAAGGGGAATCGAAAGACCAAAACATCTCATCAGTAGTAATCAACACCCAGATGAGCATAGATTAACACCTGGATTAATATCAGACTAACAATCAAGAAGTAAACAATATCCCAATCAAGGAACTTGCAAACAGCTAATAGTTTGAATAGAATATAGCCGGAAGGGACCATGGAGATCTTCTAGCCCAGCCCCCTGCTCAAGCAGGAGACCCTATACCATTTCAGACAAGTGACTGTCTAATCTCTTCTTAAAGTCCTCCAGTGATGGAGCACCCATGATTTCTGAAGGCAAACTGTTCCTCTGGTTAATTGTCCTCACTCTTAGGAAATTTCTCCTTAATTCCAAGTTGCTTCTCTCTTTGTTCAGTTTCCAACCATTGTTTCTTGTCCTGCCCTCTGGTGCTTTGGAGAATAGTTTGACGCCCTCTTCTTCATGGCAGCCCCTCAAATACTGGAATATTGCTATCATGTCGACCCTGTTTTTTCTTTCTTTAGACTAGCAAACCCAAGTCCTACAGCTGTTCTTCATATGTTTTAGTCTCCTGGCCTTTGATCATCTTAGTTGCTCTTCTCTGAATTTTTTCCAAAGTGTCAACATGTTTTTTGTAATATGATGTCCAAAATTGGTTGCCGTATTCTAGGTGTGGTCTTACTAGGGTTTTATAATAGTAAACAGTTTAATCAAAGAATCTCCAAGACTAGCCCCACCAACACTGACATGGCAAGCTACTAGAATAGAAAACCATCCAGATTTACCCTGTAGTAAGATGGTTCTTCAGATCTTGGTCTTGTGTGTGCTGGATGTGGCATGCAAATATTAGAAGTCCAGAATGTTTACCTTCATTTTGGCCTTGACCTCATGATAATTAACCAAATGGTGAAAGAGGAAAAATAGGGGAAGGACAAAAAGAAAGGGAAGGAGAAGCCTAAAAAAAAAGGCTATACTATTCATTTTCATTTTAAGCTTACTCATTTGTTTTCAGTGCTTAAAACAGATCTTGTACCACTAAGTGTGGATTCCTCAAAATCAAAATTTGCAATGAGTTTAACAAAAATAAAAAAGTGCCATTTGAACAATTGTGCGTGGAATGGTATTTGTGCATTTAAACTGTATGCCCCTTTTCTATTGTAACAGATTCCCAAAGAAAAAGATTGTAGGGAAAGGAGTAACAGAGAATATTTTAGCAATTTTGCTAAGCATTGCATTTTCCAAATATCTTTGCCGTAACTTTATACTTCTGCTGCAAAGGCTGATCTGGGGTATCTGGAGACCAACCAGACATTCCTCCATCCTTGCCACCCCCACTATCTGTAAATATGAGCAACGTTCACATCTGGAAATAGTGGGAAGACATGGCAATTACATTGGTACTGAAATGAGGTCAGCACCTGATTCAAAGACGAAGACAAGAAAAATGGAATGAAAAAATAAACAGAGATGATTTCAAGATTGCTTGTGCCATTATGTAGAAAGCTGATGTTGAATTGAATCAAATGCCATTTATTAATTTAAGTCAAACCTTAGCTAAGTAGTTTTTCATTTCATTATCAAGCCAGTAAAGAAGAGTGTATGTGGGGGGCACAATTTCACTTGAACCACGTGTTTCACCCATAATAAGGTTGACTTGGTTGAAACACAGAGATGTCACAATTTGTCTTTGGAATACAGTTTCCACCATCCTGGGATTTTATCCAGCAATTCTAGCAGAAAAGCATTTCTTGATTCTTCCAATAAATGATGGCAAGGGCCAGAAGTTATTTCTGCACACAGGTAGAAACCTATTTTTTTTTTTTTTTTTGCTATTGATACATGTCACGTGTCATAATTTTTTAGAGAAGAATGTGCCCATTGCTCTCTGAAGACACTTTGAAAGATTTCCCCACATGAACGGACCTCAAAATGAAATCCTCTTGAAAGCTTTGGCACAGTCCAACTTAATATGTAAGCCCAACACACTAAAAGGATGGGTGCTCTCTTACCGAATGTCCAAATGCTAGCACAAAACCAACCCCCCCCCCAAAAAAAAACAATGGATGGAACAACTTGTTTCTCTCCAATTCTTTGCTCTTCCAAATATGAAGTTGTCTTGATGCTATTGGTTTTGTAAGTCATGTGTAATTCATCTGGCATGCTTCAGTGACTTCAAACCTGGCCCTGTTGTCAAAGCAGGAAGTGGTTGAATAAAAGACTGCTTGATAAGTAAAGGCCATCAGATATGGTCACCTTCACCATCATGCCAGTTCAGGTCACCACTAGATAAGGGAGCCTTTCAACAATCAAGAAAGCTTCTAGACCTGCAAAATTTACACGTTGCTCTTTTCTAAATTATATTGTAATATGGAATTTGGAGGAGTGAGAAGGTGTTGGTATTGCTGATAATAATGATGTGGGTACTTTGGGCTTTGATGGGTTTGCATTTGCTGTTGTCAGAGATGCCACAAGTGAAAGCAGGTTGCGTACGATGAATACATCATCTAAATTCTAAAGTAATACATTTTAAAAAGGTGCAACAAGACTGAAACTTGTTCTTTTCTTCCATTTATCCAGTGTACCTTTTGTTTCTTTTTTCAAATTCTGGTTTAATGCCATGTTCTGCTGGAAAAGATTATAGCATCTATAAACACATCATGGGACTCTTAAGGCCACTCACCTTTATCTTGATGGTGTTGTCAGAACTAGACACTCTTTTGTGTCGTCTCCTTACCTTTTATCAAACCAATCAATTAAGGCCACCACAAAGATTTCCACGAAAAGGACTTTTGCTACTCTTGGAAGTGTTTCAATAGGAATTATCTTCTTGTTTGCAAAAGTGACCTAACCTCTGTTAAAGAACTATTAAAGAAGACATATGATGGAAAGAGCATCATGCTTACATAAAGCCTTTTGGAAATACTGATGAATCAAAACTAAGGTATTGGCACAAGAAACAAAGCACAAATAGGGAGCTGTGAAAGTCCTTATCTTTTGGAAGAATTTTTTTTTCTGAAGGGGAGCCTGGATTAGACCTTGTCCCCATAGGAAAAGGTATGGCAGAATTAGAGAAATAAGGGTATGGTGATCCAGGCACCTGTCCATATTAGCAAATTAACATTCTGACAATTAATATTGTCTTTTGTGCTTTAATTCCCAAAAAATAATTGCATACCCAAAGCTTTCTAACAAACTGCCCTTTGCTGAGGGTAACAGATACAAGAAGCTCAGGGTGTAGGTTGCATTGTTGAAGTTCTCCTAATTAGGTTTTTGGGTTGGGATCTGGGTGAACTATCTTAGAGCACAGAATAACAGAAGATAGAGTAATAGGGTTAGAATGTGATGAAACATCTACAAGAAGAAAAGCAGGCTCAAAGAAGGTCAAGAACCTTACAGTTCAACCATGGATTCTTCACTATGGAAAATGCTAAGTTCCTGAAAGCAGTTGAGCTGAAGTAGGTGAAATTCTTCTCACTGTTTATCAGAATAGTAGATACAGTCCCTCTTCCCTTAACGTCTCAGAGCAAAAAAATACAAATATTACATTAAGTCATGGCCCATATGCAGTAGTGGGATTCAGCCAGTTTGCACCAGTTCGGCAGAGCCAGTAGCTAATTTTTGGTTGCCCAGGCCCAGAACGGACTTCCAGAACCAGCATCCACACAGAGAACTGGTTGTTCCCATATTTGAACCCCACCACTGCCCATATGTATGCATTTTAGATGACTTCTACATCCAAGACTGAGGAGGATTTCTCTATTTTAAGACAATGCGTATTCTGCATGGTATTTTCAATTACTGCAACTACTACAAAGACTATATGATGAGCTTCATCCTATTTGGGACTTTTCAGATGCAGGGAGCCAGATGCTATCACAGTACTAAGCACCAGTACCAGAATTGCTCCTAAAATGCACAATATTTAGTCATGTAAAATGCAATCCTGCATGGATTCAATTCCTAGTAGAGGTTTCTAGCCAGATGGGAGAGGATTCCCCGCTTATGTTGCCATCAGAAAGAAGATCCCAAAGAAATGTATGCCATAAAATGGAAGAGTATCAGATCTGGCTTTAACATTGAATAATCCCTGGACCAATTCCAAATCTATGCTGCCAATTAAGTGATTATCTGGATCTATGCAGCTCATCTCTGGTACTTCTTAGAAAAACAGTTTGAGTACTTCTTCCATTATGTTAGACCTTTACTGTGGGCAGAGACACAACCTCTGCCTTTTAGCTTTGATTTGAACATGGATAGTGGAATAATTGTGCATGATGCAATGGAAGCTCAATACTTCCTTGTAAATCATGCAACAATAGAGGCATTGGGTTTGCATAATGAAGCTTGCAGATTAAGATATTAAAACGTGGCAGTGGAGCTGAATAAGGTCACTTAGAAGAGCAGCAAGGACCAGGAGAGTTGATGAGCAACATGCGCCTCCTTTTAATCTTTGTGTTGACTTTTACACTTTCTACACAGACGGTAAGGCTAATTTTTGTGGCTTGCAATAGCCTTTTGGCTGGGGTTCCTGCAGATGAAGTGAGTAAGCATTTTGTTGAGCTTGTCCCCATGCTTTAATTCACACATTTCTTCATGAAGGGATTAAAAATTTGGGCAGAGAGCTTTGAGTACTTAGTATTTTAACCATCAGGAATTCAAGTGTATCAGACATTCTGAATTCATGTTGGTATCCTATTACCTTTCTCAGCATTCACATAAGCACAAGAGTAAGCGGTAACCTCTTGTGGAACCTCTTGTTGGACCTGCTGAGTTGGACCAATACAGAAGGCTGAAAATTTATTTAATTGAAAAGAATTTTTAACTATGCGAGGTATAGGAAGACTTTGACATGAATAAAAATAAGGTAAAGGTGTCCCTACAAGTTGTACTCTGCTGGTTAGGGGGCGATGCTCATCTCTTTTTCTTAAACCATAGAGTCAGTGTTGTGACCAACATGACTTTATACTGCAGCACAGAGCATACGGCAAAGCATGGAATGCTATTACCTTCCTACATGCTTACATGTGGTACCTATTTATCTACTTGCATTTACATACTTTTGAACTGCTAGGTTGGCAGGAGCTGGGACAAGTTATGTCTCATGGCTCTCAAGTCTCAGACTGCTGAACTATAGACCTTTAATGGTCTAAAACTCAGCATCTCAACCACATAGCTGCTGCATCCCCTATAGAGCATAAATATGGATAAGGGATAGAGCAAAATCCACAGGTTCATTGTCTCCTAAGCTGCATATCATGTGTGGTTATATTATCTGTATATGCGCTCAGTTACATCAACAAAAACTTTGAGGCAATGCTTGGAAGAAGAGCTGCAGTATTGTGGGAGTCGGTGGTAGGAATAGGATGTAGCAATTTCTCAATAGCTACCACTTTCCCCAGTGCTTCTGATACAAATTTAATTGGTCGGGCCCATTTTTTAAAAAAGAAAAAAAGCTGAATGAGACTTTGAGGAAGGAAAGAGTTAGGTTAGATTTCATTGATTTCTGGCTAATAAGATGCTGATCTTCAATGGAAAAGAGAAATCTTAAGTTAGAGAAGGAGAGGAATATTCCAGCCACCTATGATGTCTTGACATATGTTTGACATATGTATATAGGAAATCCTCCATTTATGATCATTTGTATAACAATGATTAGAAGCTACAACAACGCTTTAAAGAATGACTTACCATCCATGCTCAAAGTTACGGTCACCGCACCATATCTGTGGTCATCTGATTCAATTTGGGTACTTGGCAACCATCTCGCATTTACGACAGTTGCAGCATCCTGAGTCATATAATCATGATTTGCAACCTTCCCAGCTACCTTTTGAGAAACAAAGTAAATGGGGGAAGCTTCATTTAATGACTGCAATAAAACGGTCATAAAATTGGTCTGGCCATGGGATGACTTGTTTAAGGACTACATCCCTTAAATTCTAACTGGAGTCATAAATTAAAGATTATCTATATTCTATAACAATATGTAACTGCATGTAGATGTTGGTCAAAGGAGATGAAGAATCCATACTGGAGAAAACAGGAAGAAGGAGAAGGAATGAGGTGAAGAAGCCCTGGATAACCCCTTTGCTGGATCATGGGCACTAGGGATTGCCTAACTTTTCATAGTTCCAGTGCCTGACCCAAATCCAAGTCAGTGTCAGGTTCCTGAGGTGTTTATAAATCTCACTGGATTGAAGCAGAGATAGGAATATCTGTTCTGATGATCATTATTTCACAAGGGACATAACAGTATTAAATGTCTTCTGCATTTTTAGGTCAGACCATGTCTGAGTGAAGGCATGCCAAGTTACAGGCATACAACACACTTATCCCTTTGTATGGTTTCCATTTCTTTCGATCCAATATTTACAAGATTTTTGTATCAGAAAGATTTTATGTGGCAGGCATATTTTAAGAAGAAAGAAGGGAAACTTGAAGTTGCCTGAGATATCTGTCTGAGAGAGAGAGAGCCAGCAAATAAATCCCATATATTCCTTCTATCGCATTTTTCTTTTTAGCAAAAAAAAAATTACTATATTTCTAAAATGTGCATATCTACGCTACGTGAAATTTATTGCATCATCTTCCTTCTTCTCATCATGCTAATGGTGTAATTTGTTTTGTAAATGGGCAAATGACTACAAGAAAGCTAGTAATCTGAAACTGCATACATGAGATGGAATAATAAGGAAATTTTCTTATTTTCTGTTCAGGATAACAAGGATAATGCTGATGTAGAGTCTATGGTAAGCTACATCATGCTAGATAGCCTGATGTTTCCCCCCTTTGGTGGACTGTATATGCTCCATTTCCTCTACAAAAGAGCACACAGTCTGATTTAGATTCAGAGAAAAGAGTCAGAGTAATTTATCCAGTCCAGAATAATCTGTAATATATTCCTCTATGTCAGTGGTTCTCAACCTGTGGGTCGGGACCCCATTTGGGGTCGAACGACCATTTCATGAGGGTTGCCAAACAACGCAATCCACCATTTCCCCCCCCCCTTTTCCTTAGCTGTCCTACTCCCTTTTATTCTATTGGCTTTTGAAAGCCAATAGAATAGACTCTCTTGAATAGAGTTTAATTCTATTGGTTTTCAAAAGCCAATAGGAATTGTCCAGGCTGTCTCTGCCCTGCTGAGCCCGCCAAAAGACCCATTCTGCAAATGGTGCTGCACCAGTTGAGTAGTCCTCGACTTACGACCGGTTGAGTAGTCCTCGACTTACGACCGGTTGGGGGTCGCGGCATTAAAAAAATTGAGAACCACTGCTCTATGTAATGTTGATAAAAAGAGGGGAACCATGAAGATAACATCTGCCTGAGAATTCTGAGATACTTGTTATGGGACACATTTCTCTTTGCCAGATCAGGAGAGGAGAACAGAGACAGATGATGGGGTAGCTATTCTTCAGCCAAGGGTGCTGAGGGAGAATAAACGGAACATCTCAGATGTTGGAGTCCAAGCTGGAGCCACTGCTGGAATATTTGGATTAAGAATCAAGATTAAAAAAGAAACAAAATGATGATCAGCACTAGAAATCTGTCTACCGTTGTATGGATTTTGTCTCCTTTATGGTTTGCAATTAAGTCAGCTGTAAGAGTAAGTTATTGTCCTCTGTTAGGCATAAAATCACCTAGGTGTAAGGACCCACCTCAATTTTACATCTTAAGAAGACAGAACTCTTGAAATGTCTCTTCCAATAGGGATCTTTATTAAGAGAAGCTGATTGTAGGCATGCTAGACAGGATCTGGGGAATCCTCTCCCACCATTCAATGTTTTAAAGTGTTCCCAAGCAGACCCCACCCCACAGTTCTTCCTGGCAATTCAATCCGTCATCCGCTCCATTGGCATGATCACTCAGCCTCTGTTTCCTAGACCCCAGGCATTGGATTTCCCACCCCCTTTTCCTAACTGCCAGCAAAGGGGAATGAGATGAAAGGTGATGGCTACATAGTTATGGTTAGTTCTCTCGATGAGAATCCACAAACGGTCACTTTGTAGTTTAATGAAGGAAGTGAGAGCCATAACCCCCCCCATGCTTACCATCCTCCCTTTTTGTAGTATGACATAATCCAGAACAGAGTAAGAATTGATCAGAGTAGGTAGATAGAAATGAAATATAATTGGATTCTGACACTAGGTGTTTTGTTTCTCCTCCTTATTTTGATGGTGTAATTCTCTCCTTTTTGCAAATGGGCAAATGGCTCAAGGAAAAAAAAAACCAGTAACCATAAGCTGCATGTCTGAGATGCAAGAGTAATGATGTTTTCTTTCTTTCTTTTGGTCAGGATAATGATAACAAGAAGAATAATGACACAGAGACTAATGTAAGTGAGTTACATCATGCCGGCTGTCCTTTTTTTTTTTCCCCTTTGGGAGAATGTGTATGTTGCCTTTTCTCCAAAAAGAGCTTACCGTCACATCTAGTTCCAGAGGCATAAATTGGTATTAATCCCCCAGTCCAGAATAGTCTGCAAGAAGTTCCTCCATGATATTATTGCTCAACCGGTGGTCCATGAAGTGGGCATCTGCCTGAGAATCCTGAGAAGCAGAAATAGTTTTAGTGGGATGCAATTCCCTTTGCCAAAGCAGGGAAGGTGAGCAGAGATGGATAATGGGGCAGCTATCATGCAACCAAGACTGCTGAGGGAGAATCAACAGAACATCTCAGATAACTTTGGTTGGTGACCAGAACAGGGGCAAACCCAGGAAGGTTTGATTTAGGAGCTAAAATAAAAATGAAATAGAATAACAGTCAGTCTTAATGATGAGATTTCCCTCCCCCCCCATCACTGGGATCCCTCCCTGTTTGTTTAGGTTTTTTTTTTCTTTTTGGATTAGGAAAGTGCGCTTCTGTAGTAGCAAATAGTCCAGGGATGGCAAGTGTTTTGGGCTGCGCCTGTCAAAAATTTAAAAAAATGCTCATCTTTATTCTGCTGGCATGTCACTCGCTGCCCTGAACCAAAAATAAACAATTCTGAAAAACCCTCCCTCCCCACAGACACATCTGGGCTACCATGAATACTGGCACTTGGAAGCTGGACTGAAGTAGAGGCCTGGCACTGATATGCAGGTTCTGAGGTTTTGCTGGTTAAAGAAATACAGGAAACTAGAAGTTGCCTTCACGTTTTCGTGTTTATTCAGCTCAATAGAGATGGGCTTCTGTACAAAAGACCCAAAAGACCCAAATAACAAAGAAAGCTTATTTTTATAGTCACTTTGGTTACATAAGCAATTCACCCAGCTAGGCTGGCACACATAAGATTAAGTCTTCACCCTTTAAGGCTGGGACACTATAGATAAGAAAAGCAGAAGTAGCTAGTATGTTCTCTCAAGGGAGTTTCCCCAAGACCATATGTTCAGTCTTGGGTGTTGTGGGTGTTGTCCCAAGATGCCAGATGTTCTTGGGTGGGTTTAGGACATTGCATGTTTCTTTGTGTCCTTTTGTAATCCTTCATTCATAGGCCTACAAGTGACCAGAGACAGAGGGGCCATCTGTATATTGATACTGTCCCTTGGGTCCTGGTCACTAATCTCCCCCTTTCATGTTGCGAGCAGTGCATAGGAGCATGACAGCCCAACTGAAGAGACGATGCCAAGCGTTTTGGCTGCGCCTGTCAAAAATTTAGAAAATGCCCACCTTGATTCTGCTGGCATGTCACTCGCTGCCCTGAACAAAAAAGAAACAATTCTGAATCTTCCCTCTCTCCCCACAGACACATCTGGGCTATCATGAATACTGGCACTCAGAGACTGGCCTGAAGTAGAGGCCTGGCACCACCATCACCACCCCAAAGGCCACCTCATGCCTTTTCCCAAGGCTTCCTGAGGATGCTCCAGGATGCACAAGGCCTGCTTAGATAATACTCTTCCTCAGCCTCTGCAGCCTCTGAAAAACCACTGGAAAACTGTCCCTGTTCTTGCATGATTTTTTGAGGCCCTGGAGGCCTTGCAAAAGCATGACTCTCTAATGTGATTTCTGGTCGATCTGAAGGCCATGTGAAACCATACACTATTCTTGCGGGGCCACCACCACAGCCTCCAAAAACCCTGCAAGAATCAGGCATGTTTTTGAAAATATTTTATCAGATGTTGTCACCCAAAACTTTGTGCAGGTCTCCTTTGACATGTGTGTCGTAAGTTTGCCATCACTGAAATGGTGCTTCAGCTCCGTTAAACTCTAATTCAGCGGTTCTCAACCTGTGGGTTGCAACCCTTTTGGGGGTCACACAAGCCTTTCACAGGGATCGCCTAAGACCATCGAAAAACACAGGAAGGAAGGAAAGAAGGAAGGAACTAAGAGGGAGGGGAAGGAAAGGAAGGAAAGAAGGAAGGGACAATGGGAAAGAGGAAGGGAAGGAGGAAGAGATTAAGAAGGAGGTGAAGGAAAGGAAGGAAAAAAGGAAGGGACAATGGGAGAGAGGGAGGGAAGGAGGAAGAGACTAAGAAGGAGGTGAAGGAAAGAAAGAAGGAAGGGACAATGGGAAAGAGGAAGGGAAGGAGGAAGAGATTAAGAAGGAGGTGAAGGAAAGGAAGGAAAAAAGGAAGGGACAATGGGAAAGAGGAAGGGAAGGAGGAAGAGACTAAGATGGAGGTGAAGGAAAGAAAGAAGGAAGGGACAATGGGAAAGAGGGAGGGAAGGAGGAAGAGACTAAGAAGGAGGTGAAGGAAAGAAAGAAGGAAGGGACAATGGGAAAGAGGGAGGGAAGGAGGAAGAGATTAAGAAGGAGGTGAAGGAAAGGAAGGAAAAAAGGAAGGGACAATGGGAAAGAGGAAGGGAAGGAGGAAGAGATTAAGAAGGAGGTGAAGGAAAGGAAGGAAAAAAGGAAGGGACAATGGGAGAGAGGGAGGGAAGGAGGAAGAGACTAAGAAGGAGGTGAAGGAAAGAAAGAAGGAAGGGACAATGGGAAAGAGGGAGGGAAGGAGGAAGAGATTAAGAAGGAGGTGAAGGAAAGGAAGGAAAAAAGGAAGGGACAATGGGAAAGAGGAAGGGAAGGAGGAAGAGACTAAGAGGAGGTTAAAGATGAAGGAAGGAAAGGAAAGAAGGAAGGGACAATGGGAAAGAGGAAGGGAGGAGGAAGAGACTAAGATGGAGGTGAAGGAAAGAAAAAGGAAGGGACAATGGGAAAGAGGGAGGGAAGGAGGAAGAGACTAAGAAGGTGAGGTGAAGAGAAAGGCAATGGGAAAGAGGGAGGGAAGGAAAGGAAGAGATAAGATGGGAGAGGGAGGGAAGGAGGAAGAGATTAAGAAGGAGGTGAAGGAAAGGAAGGAAAGAAGGAAGGGACAATGGGAGAGAGGGAGGGAAGGAGGAAGAGACTAAGATGGAGGTGAAGGAAAGAAAGAAGGAAGGGACAATGGGAAAGAGGGAGGGAAGGAGGAAGAGATTAAGAAGGAGGTGAAGGAAAGGAAGGAAAAAAGGAAGGGACAATGGGAAAGAGGAAGGGAAGGAGGAAGAGATTAAGAAGGAGGTGAAGGAAAGGAAGGAAAAAAGGAAGGGACAATGGGAGAGAGGGAGGGAAGGAGGAAGAGACTAAGAAGGAGGTGAAGGAAAGAAAGAAGGAAGGGACAATGGGAGAGAGGGAGGGAAGGAGGAAGAGACTAAGAAGGAGGTGAAGGAAAGAAAGAAGGAAGGGACAATGGGAGAGAGGGAGGGAAGGAGGAAGAGACTAAGAAGGAGGTGAAGGAAAGAAAGAAGGAAGGGACAATGGGAGAGAGGGAGGGAAGGAGGAAGAGACTAAGAGGGAGGTGAAAGAAAGGAAGAAAAGAAGGAAGGAAGGGACAATGGGAGAGAAGGGAGGGAAGGAAGGCAGGCACCCACCCCCGTCCCATCCCAGAGACCCACAGAGTCCCCCCCACAGGTACTGTGCAACCTGAGTGAGCTGCTGGCCATGCCCCCTGGCCATTGATCACGTGACCCTGGGACACTGTGAATGTCATAAGTATGAATCAGTTGTCAAGCATCCGAATGTAAATCACATGACCCTGGGGATGCTGCAACAATCATAAGTGTGAAAAATGATTATAATTCGCTTTTTCAGTGCTGTTGTAACTTCAAACAGTCACTAAGCAAATTGTTGTAAGTTGAGGACTACCTGTACTTTCCCATTTTTTCCTTTTTTTTTTTTTTGGTCAAGTTTTTGATACCCCCTGGCCAGCTGGATGGGGGGTTGGGGGTCACCACAACATGAGGAATTGTATTAAAGGGTCACGGCATTAGGAAGGTTGAGAACCACTGCTCTAATTCATCATTCTTCAGTTATGGCAGTCAAAAATAGAGCAAGGATATTACTTAATGATTGTTGCCTTTGAAAGTTTAGTAGATCTTGTAACTCCATTGGTAATTTTGCAACGGGATCATATTCTATTAAGTTTTCCAAATGAGGATGAAACTGATACCTTCTTTTTCCCTTGTAGAAAGGCGGTGAAGACAAAATGGGAAAAATTATGGTTAGTAGTTCTTTGTTTATTTCATGCTTTTTCCTTAGGCAATCTCAGCCCTTGATCTTTCAGGACTTGAGTTTAGCTAGTCTAAAGAAAAGAAGAAATAGGGGTGACATGATAACAGTATTCCAGTATTTGAGGGGCTGCCACAAAGGTGTCAAACTATTCTCCAAAGCACCAGAGGGCAAAACAAGAAACAATGATTGGAAACTGATCAAGGAGAGAAGCAATTTGGAATTAAGGAGAAACTTCCTGACAGTTAGAACAATTAACCAGTGGGACAGCTTGCCTCCAGAAATCGTGGGCGCTCCATCACTGGAGTTTTAAGCAGAGATGGACAGTCACTTGTCTGAGATAGTATAGGTTCTCCTGCTTGAGCGGGGGGCTGGACTAGAAGACCTCCAAGGTCTCTTCCAGCTCTATTCAAATGAAAAATATACATGAAACTGATATACAGTATGGAAGATATCTGTGATGGTATAGTTATATTTAGTGATATTTATCTTGCCAGAAAAGAACTGACCTCCAAGGTCCCTTCCAGCTCTATTGTATAGTATAGTATAGTTTAGTTTAGTAGAGTAGAGTAGAGTAGAGTAGAGTAGAGTAGAGTAGAGTAGGGTACTGTATTCTAGTCTAGTCTAGTCTAGTCTAGTCTACCTAAGGATTCTTATTTCTACACATACTCACAAAACATCAGTTCATAGATTCTGCCATGAAATTTAACTCTTTCATTTTTAAATAAAAAATATTAAACTTCACTCCAGAAAAATACCACAAAGGGAGCTAAAGACTACAAGGAGACTCGCACCCGCATCCCTTATTCCAGCAGGTTTCAAGGGCCCCCTTCTTCCAGGAAGGAGGAGGGCTCATCTGTTGACTGCTGGATACCCCTAGCCAGTTCCATCTCACCATTAAGATATTTCAAACGTCAGCCTTGGTTCCAAAGCAGCCAATGGCCTCTAGCCCGTAAGGGTGCAGAGGCCAGAGGGAGGTGGGAATGAAGGCAGGAATAGGCCCATCCCCTCTTCCTTTGCACCATACAATCTATGGTTTTCTGAGAAGTAGTTGGAAGGTGTGGAGGCCACAACTTCCCCAAATTTCATTCCCATGGGAGTCATGAGTCCCAGCAGTCCATAAGCTAGCCCAGGGGTAGTCAACCTTGGCTCTTTTATGACTCGTGGACTTCAACTCCCAGAATTCCTGAGCCAGCTCAGGAATTCTGGGAGTTGAAGTCCACGAGTCATAAAAGAGTCAAGGTTGACTACCCCTGAGCTAGCCCATTTGAATGACTTTGGTTCAATAATTGTTGCCAATGTTGCCCAATTGAAGGTTACAGACAAACAGACACAAATGTTTTAGTAATATATAGATGAGGAGGAAAGAGGCAAAACAGATAGAATTAGAGGACAGGTAGGTGAAGCTGAATTGAAAGTAGTTTCCCAGTGATAAGTATGTCCTAGGGATATTAGGTAAAGGAAATCTTTATACACTGCTCGGTTCACAGAACTTACTAAATCCTGCAATTAACAAAATGCAGCTACTATGTTCAGAAAATACAGAGTCCTAGCTAAATACACTGGCGGAGCAGTGGTTAAAGGGCACTATTGCAGGCAACTCTGCCCATAGCCTGGAGTTCAGTCCTGAGTGGGCTTAAGATTGACTCAGACTTCCATAATTCTGAGTTCAGTAAAATGTGGACTGAGATTGTTTGGTGCAATATGCAAATAATTATTATATTATAAACTGCCCAGAGAGTGCTGTAAAGCACTATTGGGTGGTGTATAAGCCTAAATGCTATTGCAGTGCATTAGCAAAGTTGTTTTGAACCTTTTGGCAAAGAGGAAGAGTCCTATGGACTGTTTTTCTTTCTCCAGTGAAGTGTTTCCCGACCTCAGCAAGTTTAAGATGTGTGAATTTCGAATGACATTCAAAAGATTTTTAGAAGAAAGATAAAGTTTACTCCTCAATTTTTTTTACTTGGTATTTTCGTTGACTTAAATGAAAAAGAAACTACTTTGATGTTGAATTTAATAACTGCAACAAGGTTATTAGTAGGTTTATACTGGAAGAAAGTTTCTTTGCCTACTTTAGAAGAATGGATATTTAAAGTATCTAGTTTTGCAGAAATGGCAAAAATTTCTGTTTATTTAAAGGATCATACACAAGAGAGATATATTATTGTATGGAGAAGATGGATAGATTATATTCAGAAAAAGTATGGAATTAAAAAGTTTCATTTATTTTATGAATGAATATTAAATAGAAAATTGTTTTATAGGTTATGGAGTTAAAGGTTAATTATGATTTTTTTTCTTTTCTTTTTTTTCTTTTCTTTTTTTGTTATTATAAATTTTGTTATTATTAACCCTGTATTCTGCTCTGGGAAGTGAAGGGAGGGGGGTTGGGGGTGGGAGGGAGGGTAAACGGGGGGGGGGTAAAGGTAGTATAGACAATGGTTGCTTATGAATTTATTTTACTTTAAAATTTTATTGTATTTTTATAATGTTTGTATCTTAAAAAATAAAAATTTTCAATTAAAAAAAAAGATGTGAATTTCAACTCCCAGATCTCTCCAACCAACCAAAGAAAGTTATTGGAAGGAAGGAAGCATGCTGGGTAGTTCTGGAAGTTGAAATCTAGATAGCTTAAAGTTGCTGGGGTTGAGAAGCAATGGTCTAGTGATAGTTCTGTCCATATCTGTGACTCATCTCCTTGTGGAGAGACAAATTTAATAAATAAAATAAATACTCATTGCATCAGATGCTATTTTCCTGGTAAGATAGATTTCCTCACCTCCTTTTCCAGGGCTTATTTTATTGGGACATGTTTCCAAGCCCAGAAACAGAGATTTTTCAAAGGACCCAAAATATTTCATGAAGTCAAAGTCTTCCTCAAGTTTACTTAGTTAGCAACTTAGTGGTCATGCAAAGCACATATCCTGGCTACTAATTCAATCCTTCTTCTGTAGTTTATGTAATACATTAAATGCTAAAATGATGAAATAATCTGTGCTCTCCCAACTCAGTAAACCACAAAACGATGTATAATAATTTAACTGAGTATCTAAGTCTGGAATGTTGTGCCAATGCAGCTGTTAGGATTTTTATTGGCAAGTAACATATTAGCATGAATTCACCAGCATCAGTTCACATATGAAATGGAGACATTTGCTGCATATTCCCAGAAGAGATTTCATCCAAGAGGCATGTCTATTAAAGGACCAATCTTTTCTAATCTGAAGACGGAATTCATTTTTCTTGTAGATGACATGGCAGAAATGGTTAGAGAAATGATATATAGTATGTTCTCATATGAGAATAGAGATAATACCGGTATTCTTTCTTTCTTTCTTTCTTTCTTTCTTTCTTTCTTTCTTTCTTTCTTTCTTTCTTTCTTTCTTTCTTTCTTTCTTTCTTTCTTTCTTTCCATTGTAGGATATGCTTGGTAGTGAAGGTTTAGAAGCATTAATGGTAAGTAGCCCTTTGACCATTATTCTGTTCCAAACTGAACAGACTGCTTTCCGTCCAATCCAAACAGATATTCCGTCAGATGTGAGTGCATTGCTGCTGTGGGCTTTCTTTGTTGTCTTAGATCGTATTGACCCTGAGACATTTTTGGCTTTGTTGAGGCTTGAGCTTCAGCCTCTGTGTGCAGGTCAAGGTTGGCTGTTGGCAACATTTCCCTTGGCCGGCTGGTTGGTGTATCTCAACTAGGCTGGTTGGTTGAACCCTTTCTGCTAGACCAGTGGGACACTCTGCCATGGCTAGGGTAGGTTCAGTGTTCTTCTCAGCTATTTTGAAGTGAATTTGAAGAACTTCTCTCTTTGACCACTAGGGGTCGCTACTTGTAGATCAGCTTCAGAGGTGCTGTCTGTGGGTGGAGGAGTCGCTGGGTGCATTCTCCTTTTGCAGTTCACCCCCTTCACCACTAGGGGTCACTTGCTGCGGGCCAGCTACCAGGGTGCTCTTCCTTCGAGGTTCACCCTTTGTCCACTAGAGAGTCTCTTGCTGTGAGTCAGCTACCAGGGTGCTCTTTTTTCATGGTTCACCCTTTGTCCACTAGAGGGCTGGCTATGGGTGTGATTAAAGGCTTTCATGTAGTTCCTCCTTTAACAACTAGGGGGCGTCTGAAGAAAGGCCAGCCAAATTCTTCCTATTACCACGTTACTGCTAGTGGCCACTGAGAGAATGTAGAGCAGTGGTTCTCAACCTTTTTAATGCCGCGACCCCCCAACCGGTCGTAAGTCGAGGACTACTCAACCGGTTGTAAGTCGAGGACTCCTCAACTGGTGCAGCACCGTTTGCAGAATGGGACTTTTGGTGGGCTCAGCAGGGCAGAGACAGCCTGGACAATTGCTATTGGCTTTTGAAAGCCAATAGAATAAAAGGAGTAGCACAGCTAAGGAAAAGGGGGGAAAAAATGGCAGACTGCGTTGTTTGGCGACCCCTGTGAAATGGTCGTCCGACCCCCAATGGGGTCCCGACCCACAGGTTGAGAACCACTGCTGTAGAGGTACAAACTCCCACCTGGCGACCGTTAAGTTGCAGACTGGAACACTGGGTCATCAGCTTGTGATAATAAGCAAGGACAATTGGCCTCGCTTTCTTCTGCTAACTTCTCTCAAACTGGAACAACTTGGTCTTCAGCTTGAGTGAGTGAGTACTTTTGGTAAGTTCACTCTGTGCCCTCTAGGGCTTGCACTTTAACTAACAGATTCACTCTGCGTAGTGATGCGTGCAGTGAAGTACCTTCTTTCCCTCTGGGGGATGGTCTTAGCTTATGTGCTGAATTTAACTGTCAAGATGTTGTAATCTTGCATGTAAAATACAAGAAGGTTACTTAAAGAAAGCAAATTATCCACTAGGGGGTGCTACTGTGATGTTATTGGGACCTCTGAACACCATCTCCAATTGGCATTGTTGAAATTCCAAAGGGTGGCTGAGTGAAGAGGTTGATTGCCTTTTATTGCTCTCCTTAATGATGGCCTTAGGCTTGGTTGCTAAGGCAACAAATGGCTTTATTGCCTGATGGGGCCAGAAAGAAAGGGGGACTTGTCCTTTCTGAGCATCAAACAAAGGCCACAGAAATTTGCTAAGGTTTGGATTTTCTAGCCGAGGAACTTTTCCAGCCTGCTCTGTTCGTTTAAAAAGGGATCAGACTCCACACATATCAAAGCATCCCAAAACAAGCTAGTTGAATCCATGTGCTAACATCAAAACTCTTCAAGGCTTACTGGCTCCCTCGTTTTACAGGCATACTGAGTTGAGTTCACAGACAATCTTTTGCAACCTTCCCTCATTTTCTCAAGACTTCTCAAAACTTTCTCAAGTTTTGCCTCGGTGGGGGAAGGGAGAAGGAGACTGCTGCTTGGAATTCCTTTGATCCTTTCAAGTGTGAAAAGCCACAGAGAGAGCAGAGCTGTAGAAGTACACAAAAGCTTTCCTCTCTTGAATAAGGCTAAACTTTTCCAGAGATAGATAGCAGAAACATCCAAACGCCAGGCCCTATATAACCCTTGCTTTAGAACGTTGGCTAGCAATGATTCCTTGCTGAGATCTCAGCGAATTAACAAGACAATGCATCTAAATCACACTTCTGAAACGGTGTGTGTCTTCACAAAGCTGATATGAACTCTGAGCATTCATTTACTTGCAAGAGAATCTTTACTTTACTTCCTTAAGGGCTGATGTAGAGAAAAGCTAAAAAATTTACTTTTCTGCCTTCAAACTGTTGCAGGAGATCAGAGGAGAATTAATCTTATCAATTTACTATTCTGTTCCAAACTGAACAGACTGCTTTCCATCCAATCCAAACAGATAGATAACTCAGAAGAATAAACAGAAATATTGCTTTATTCTGGGAATTCTAAACAATAACTCACTTTTATGTAGAGATGCATCCAGAAGTATGTTTGCAATATTGGTTATTCCACAGGTAAATTGATATTGAATTTTCCCCTCTTCTCTTCCTGCTAAGCGTCACATGTTGGAAACAAAGGATTCCCCTCTGGCTTGTGTCCAGGAAGTCTCCCAATTACCTTTTGGGACTCCTCCCACTGACCCATCAACATACCTACCATTTAACCCAATAACTGCCAGATATTCTAACATACTGATACCTGGTCTCTAGTTAGGGTTACATACGTTCCAGAATAACCATCTTTTCCTCTATGTATCTTTCTTACATACAACTGTGCAGCCCTTTTGGTATTCTAACAAACACACCCCACTCCCCAATTTAACAGTTATATATACTGAAATATACCCAGCTTATATATTTTGGAGAACAGTTATCTTGTTTTATGATTAAAGCTATGATACTCATTCTTAAATAATTGCTGCCCCCAGCCATTCCCAAGTTTGGGAGGGGTGAATGGGGATGTATTCAGTACTTAAATAAGGGGTTTAGGATTCAGGATGGCCTAAATACTTTTTGGACTTTTAACTGTCAAGAAAATGCTCTGAATTTGAGCTGAAACTCCTGTAGCATTTACAGAATGCTACAGAATTACTGAAATGAGATGCTATTGTGGGATTCCAATATCCCTTTTTTCTCACATGCTACACTAAGGTAACAGAGTACATATGTGGAAACACAAATCTGCATATTTCATAATGAATATTTGAAGGAGGAAGCGACAAAGGAGATAGAAGAAAAGAGGGTTAGGTGAAGTAGAATAAAAACAACAACATTCCATCATAATGATTTCTTACTTCTATAGGTGTATTAAATACACCTATAGATTTTAAATGTAGACATATAGGGCAATATTCTCAAAAGCTGTTATCCCCCCAGTAAAGCTACCGCTTTCTAAGCTATCATCTTATATACTGATGAATAGGGTACAACCATTATTCCCTGGGATTCTCAATGCATATTATACTTCCATGAAGGTGGAAGAACATTGAAAAGAAAAAGAAAACAAAAAAGAAACCTCAGAATACTGTTAATTCAAAATTGTTTTTTAGACTAAGCAATCCCTGTTGTAATACGAAATTTCCTAAAGCAGCAATTCATGTGTGGTACATGATATCTAAGATGATAATGATGGTATGGATAGAAAGGTTCTGGTAACTTCCATTAGAATAGAATTTGACATTCTTGTTTTCTTTATAGATGCATTTGAAGGAGGAAGAAATAGAGATATTAATGGCAAGTAGCTCTTTCTTCATCTGACATCTTTACTTTGAGTAATATAATTCTTGCCTGCAATGAAGCATCCCTGTGTTATAAACCCAAACCAAAACACATTTTATTTGGTTGCATATGTGGATAAGGTCTTTTCAAAACTGCCTCTAAGGAATAGTTTGCAGTGGGAAAGAGTGTCCTGGACAAGTTCTTTCTCTCCCTGGAATTTCTATCCCTTATTGGTCAGAGTCATCTGTAAGGTCCAAAAGCAGTTTTGTTGGTAAGATGGTGTATTTCATCTCCTTTTCCAGAGTCTGTTTTACCAGGTAGTACTGTGGAAGCTAGAAAGAGGAATTGTTCAAATGATCCAAAACAGAGAGGTCCTTTGTAACATTGAATAGTCACTACATGACCAGTCATAACTCAAGGATTACAAATATGGAATATAGAGATTTAATGTCAGGTTCTTGAACAGCTTGAACCTCAACTGACCTTTCTATTAACAGCCATTTTTTGTCAAAAAGCAACTTATCTTTAGAGACAGAATTTTAATGCGAATATTATCCCATTGGATTCTCTGGGCAGATATCTGTGGTATGAAAGCAGAAGTATATTGAAAAGAGAACGTAATAGTGTTTCAGAACACAAAGCACCCATGTGTGCCCTTTTTGCCCTGTCAGTCCCTATTCTGATAAGAAATGTATATATCTCATCTATACCACACCTGGAATACTGCATCCAGTTTTGGTCACCACATTAGAAAAAAATGTTGAGACTTTGGAAAACATGCAAAGAAAAGCAACTAAGATGATTAAAGACCTGGAGACTAAAACATATGAAGAAGGGTTGCAGGATTTGGGTATGGCCAGTCTAGAGAAAAGAAGGATTAGCAGTATTTGTAAGGCCCCACCCCATTTTGCATCTTAAGAAGACAGAACTCTTGGAATATTTCTTCCAACAGGCATCCTTTATTAAGAGAAAATGGTTGCAGGTGTTCTAGACAGGACCTGGGGCCCAAGCCCTACGGTTCAAGGTTTTAAGGGGTCCCCAGCAGCCCCAGCCCACACCACCGTCTTTCCAGCGACAACCCCAGGCATTCCATTTCCACCCCCTTTTTCCTCACTGCCGGTGGAAGGGAGACTTCAGAGAGGAGTAGATGAAAGCTGATGGCCCCATTGTTATGATTTAGTCCTTTTGGTGGTATCCACATTCAATCCCTTTGAAGTCGTACTGAAGGAAGTGAGGGCCATAAAACCCCTTTGTTCACACACACCCTTCCCCTTCATCGTATGACAAAATCCAGAGAGGCAGAAATGGGGTTTTCCATAGTCGATAACTAGAGATGAAATATAATTGGATTCTGACATCATTCCAGTATTTGAGGGGCTGCCACAAAGAAGAGGGGGTCAATGTATTTTCCAAAGCACTAGAAGGCAAGACAAGAAACAATGGATGGAAACTAATCAAGGAGAGGAGTAACCTGGAATTAAGGAGAAACTTCTAACAGTGAGGAGAATTAACCAATGGAACAGCTTGCTTTTGGAAGTTGTAGGTGCTTCATCACTGGACAGCTACCTATCTGAAATGGTATAGGGTCTCCTGCTTGAGCAGGGGGTTAAACAAGAAGGTCTCCAAGGTCCCTTCCACCTGTGTTCTGATTGAAATATGCAATCCACATATAAGATAGCAGAGATGTTAGCAATGGTATGGCTAGCTGCCCATCTTATGCAGCAGAACCTGGTTCCAGAAGTCATATTTGATGTCATGTCAGAATAGAAATAATACTTTTTGCTTCCCCTGCAGAACTGCATGGACAAGCCGGGTATATCAGAGGAACTCATGGTAAGTGCCTCTTTGCTCATCCTGGGTTCTTTCCTTATGAAATATATACTGTTGTTTCTCTGTGTCACACAATATATGTGGTTACATGCATAATTCTGTATTTATTTATTTATTTTTGTCATATTTATGTAGTGTATACGCTTTGAGAGCTGTATGCAATGAAATTGCATTTTAATGTATGCCGATTAGTGTATGTTCAAAGTGACAATAAAGTTCTATTCTATTCTATTCTATTCTATTCTATTCTATTCTATTCTATTCTATTCTATCCTATCCTATCCTATCCTATCCTATCCTATCCTATTCTATTCTATTCTATTCTATTCTATTCTATTCTATTCTATTCTATTCTATTCTATTCTAATTCCCTATTCCCTATTATCTATTCCTTATTCCCTATTCTATTCTATTCTATTCTATTCTATTCTATTCTAATTCCCTATTCCCTATTCCCTATTCCCTATTCCCTATTCCCTATTATCTATTCCTATTCCTTATTCTATTCTATTCTATTCTATTCTATTCTATTCTATTCTATTCTATTCTATTCTATTCTATTCTATTCTATTCTATTCTGTTCATTATCTATCTAATTCTATTCTATTCTATTCTATTCTATTCTATTCTATTCTATTCATTATCTAATTCTATTCTATTCTATTCTATTCTATTCTATTCTATTCTATTCTAATTCCCTATTCCCTATTATCTATTCCTTATTCCTTATTCATTATTCTATTCTATTCTATTCTATTCTATTCTATTCTATTCTATTCTATTCTATTCTATTCTATTCTATTCATTATCTAATTCTATTCTATTCTATTCTATTCTATTCTATTCTATTCTATTCTATTCTATTCTATTCTATTCTATTCTATTCTATTCTATTCTATTCTACTCTACTCTATTCTATTCTATTCTATTCTATTCTAATTCCCTATTCCCTATTATCTATTCCTTATTCCTTATTCCCTATTCTATTCTATTCTATTCTATTCTATTCTATTCTATTCTATTCTATTCTATTCTATTCTATTCTATTCTATTCATTATCTATCTAATTCTATTCTATTCTAGTCTAATTCCCTATTCCCTATTATCTATTCCTTATTCCTTATTCTATTCTATTCTATTCTATTCTATTCTATTCTATTCTATTCTATTCTATTCTATTCTATTCTATTCTATTCTCCTAACCTTAACTCATTTCATTTTGTTGTATGTGTGATCAAGACACTTTGTAAACTATCCCCAGGGGAAATGTTAGGCATACCAAGCTTGACTTTTTTATCCTTGTCCTTTAAAGGATGTAATGAAAGCTTTGGATGGGATTTCAAGCTTCTTCTACTAAATCCATCTTTGGGGATGTGAGGCCATTCACACCAATAGTCTCCAGGGCCCTCATGGACTCACCAGTTTATGTTAATAGACTGCAGTGGCCCAAGCAAGGCTCACGCGGATGCTTACGTCATACCCTGGCGCCATGTGGTTACGAAGGATCCCTAAAAGAGAATAATGATTTTTCTCTTTCCTTATAGGGTGTAATACCTTCTGTGTTAAATGCTACTAAAGGAATTAATAATGGAACAACGATGTGTGCATTGATTGTAAGTACATACACACTTAGGTTCTCTCTTGTACTCTTTGTCTTCTATGTTACCCTTCTTAAGGTAGTCCTTTTGAGCTTCACTCCCTTCAAAGGATCCACAGACATTTCAGGAACGATCCCAGCAAGATGCTCTAATCTCTTGGGAACATTTAAAGGAGGGAGTCATTTTGGCTATTGGCAGAGTTTGAAGAATTCTGGCTTCACAGGTTTTCCCTGTGGCTTAGGAGAAAGGCTTAAAAGAGGAAACCTTTAGAAGAGCTGTAGAATAATAGGCCTTTTAAGAAAAATGATCACAGAAACTCCTTGCTTACAATAATAACCAGTCTCAGAATACTATTAATATGTGGTCTTTTAGGCTATCATTCAGTTTGTGATTACAAAGGCACAATTCCTACTCTTTTCCTTGGAAACAGTTCAGAGAAGAGCAACCAAGACAATCAAAGGCCTGGAGACTAAAACATATAAAGAATGGCTGCAGGACTTGGGTTTGGCTAGTATAAAGAAAAAAAAGAAATAGGGTAGACATGATAGCAGTATTCCAGTATTTGAGGGGCTGCCACAAAGAAGCGGGGGGGAGGGTTTCAAATTATTCTCCAAAGCACCAGAGGGCAGGACAACAAACAATGGTTGGAAACTGACCAAAGAGAGAAGCAACCTGGAATTAAGGAGAAACTTCCTAACAATGAGCACAATTAACAAGTGGGACAGCTTGCCTTCAGAAATCGTGGGTGCTCCATCACTGGAGGTTTTTAAGAAGAGACAGGACAGTCATTTGTCTGAGATGGTACAGGTTCTCCTGCTTGAGCAAGGGGCTGGACTAGAAGACCTCCAAGGTCCCTTCCAGCTCTATTCTATTTGAATGAAAAATATACATGAAATTGATATACAGCATGGAAGATATCTGTGATGGTATAGTTATATTTAGTGATATTTATCTTGCTAGAATAGAACTGACCTTCGTTTCCTTTACAGAGAGAATTTGCCCCAGAGGGTCCTATGGCTCAAATACTAGTAAGTAGCTTTGATTTATTTACTTTCTTCAATATTCTCCTTGTATTTGAACAAGCACTTCTTTTTTATTTTTCTTCACCCAACACTAAAAGCATCTGCCAGAAAACACAAACCCAGAAAATAGGATGAAAACATTTGACTTGTTTTTACATTTGCTTTTTAAGCAGAAACAAAACAGAAACAAAAAGCCACCAGCTAAATTGGACAGAAGTCCCCCCCCCCCCCGGCTGAATACTAAAGAAAAAGATTTTGATCTCTGACATGAATGGCCCTCTGTGGAAGAGGGACAAGTGATCATGTGTGCAATTGTGAATGGTGTTAGCAAGTAGTTGTGGCCTTTGTGTGATGTTATCATGGCACACCCGTTATTACTTTTGCATCATTATGAGTTGTGAATGCCTGTTTGACTTTACGTAGCACACCATTTGCAATCTTGTTCCTATGGGTTTTTTTTAACAAAGGACCGAATTTCCTATTATTTACTGATATAATTCAGTAGTGTAGAAGGAAAAGTCTTCATCATGGTTCAGTCCAAGCCAGGAATAAACAACATGGTGACTGCTTTAGAAAGAAGGTTGCAGTTTATTGAAAAGGAGAGCCAGACAGAAAGATGACTCTGGAAGAAAAGAGAGACAGCACATGCAGGGAGTGGGTTTTTATATCCTCTGGGGCTCTTGAGGTTGTTTCCTGTTCCTGTTTGAGGCTTTGTATTTCCTGTGTCATGTACTTTGACCTCCAACCTTCCTGAATGGATTATCACATCTGCATTTCTACAGAGCTGATTTCTGCTTGGGGGAGGGAGACTTGGGGCTATTAAGAAAAACTGGCCATGCTTTTCTGCCTCTTTAAAATCCTTTGAGGAAATATAATTTTCTGCATTTTAATATTTCCTTCTCTCGGAGGAGGGCTGACTTCCCACAGTATATTATGTCAATACAACTGCTAGGGTTTTTATTGACATGGTTAAGTAACAAGCATCAATCCAGGTTCACATATGAAATGAAGGCCTGCAGTGCATATTCCCTGAAGACCTTTAACACCAAAAGATAAGTATATTAAAAGATCTCTCTGAAACCCACTTTTGTGTTCACGCATAAATTCTATACAACCATTTTGATTTAGGTTTCTCTGTGCACCTTCTGGTTGTGGAAGAATATTGAAAAGAGACAGAAGACATATATAAATTAATAGTACTCTGGCCTCAGAGTACTATTAATTTATATATGTCTTTTTGGTCCCAAATCACTTCCTGCTGTAATAAGTAATATATGTTTTCTATCTGAGGGAGGAATAAAGGGATTCATTTTTATAATACATAAAATGGCAGAGATAGCACAGTTGGAGAATTCATGTATGTTGTCATGTGAGAATAGAGCTCACACCCTTTGTTTCCATTGCAGAAGGGATTGAGTGATGAAGATATAATAAAAATGATGGTAAGTAACTTTTTGATTATCTTCTCTCTTTTCTTGCAGGGGACGAAGAAGCCCTTTCTGGATTCTAACCCTCCCCAATCAAAATTCAATATTCCTATTCAAAGCAATGGGATATACCCATGTTATATATTTAGGAAGATAGTGATTGTGTTTTATGATGAAAGCTGTGATGGTTATCTCATTCTTTAAAAATTATTTGAGTCCAACAGTCCCCAAACTTTGATGGGCAGGAGTGGGTTGAGTGTTAAAAAGAGGGCTTTAGCATTCAGGAAGGCCTAAATCTTTGGGGGATCTTTTTTTGACCAGCAAATGCTCTGAATCTGAGCTGATATTCTTGTAGCAGTTGGAAGAGGAAATGAAATGCTATTATGAGATTTCAATAGTCCTTTTTCTAGACATGGCTACATTAAAAATCAAGTAGAGGACATATAGGTGGAGACACAAATCTGTATAGTTAATATACATAAGTCTATTTCACATTTGAGCTTAGTTGGGGGAGGAGGAGGAAGAGGCAGATGAGGAGAAGAGAGAGGGGTCACGTGAAGCTGTTAGAATACAGTATTCATGTATTTTTGAAAAACTTCAGCAGTATATATATATATATATATATATATATATATATATATATATATATATATATATATATATATATATATGTTTTCTGAGGTCTTTTGTATGTTGTTCGGGTTTTCTCCCGCGTAAAATTGGAAGTGTCTTGGCGACTTCGTCGAAACGTCACCAAGACAGCTCCAATTTTACGTGGGAGAAAACCCGAACAACCAAAGACCTACATATATATATATATTATATATATATATATATATATATATATATATATATAGGTCTTTGGTTATTTGGGTTTTCTCCCATGTAAAATTGGAGGTGTCTTGGTGACGTTTCGACGAAGTCTCATTCATCATCTTCAGGCAATTTGCTTCTAGGAGCACGAAGCTGAAAACACCAGCCTGAAGATGATGAATGAGACTTTGTCGAAACGTCGCCAAGACACTTCCAATTTTATGTGGGAGAAAACCCGAATAACCAAAGACCTACATACAAACACCCGCGAAAACCTCAGAAAATATATATATATGTATGTATGTATGTATGTGTGTATATATGTGTATATATCTCCTTTATGAGATTCGAACCTGGGCAGCCTGCATGATAGGCAGTTGTATTAACCTCCAGGCTACCAACTCTCCTCCCCTGGAGTTTAATGATGAGCTGATGAGAGCAAAATGAGCTTGAAATGGCCATCCTAGTCTCCCATTTATCTCTTTAACTCTTTGTCAACAAAAAAAAAAAAAAGAAAAAGAAAGAAATTTGAATTTGTAATGTATCGCAATAGCGACTTGAGCCTGCTTAACGCCCCTAGTTTGGGGGGGGGCTGCAAGGCAAAAATGATTATAACAGTAGAACTGTGGGGAGGAGGGGGAAGCAGCAATTCATGTATATAGTATGATATGTTAAAATGGTAGAGGTGGCATGGATAGAGAGATCCTGGGTGTCTTCATGTCAGAGTAAAATCTGATGTGTTTCTTTCCATTGCAGAATTGTTTGAATGAAGATGAAATGAAAATGTTACTGGTGAGTAACTCTTACTTCATTTTCTGACTTTGTGTTGAGTGATATTCTTCTTGCATTCAACGAAGCATCCCTTTTGCGATTCTACACCTTCCAGAAAACATCTCCAGAGTCCCCAGAGCATAAACAAAACAGGCAAGGCCAAAACATTTCACCTGCTTCACCTTTCCTTTCTGAAACAATTTATCTATTTGTTTGAAAAAGCATACCAAATTGCCAAATTGGGGTGATGTTATCCTTAGGGAACAAGTAGCAAAGGTCTCATCCAGGGGTGTTCCTGTTGGAAATAGGGGCAAATCACAACATGCGTATGAGGTTGTCATCCTGCAGTCACTGGGATTTGCATCCCCTTGTTGAGATGTAAGTAGATACTTGCAGCTTTTTTGTGATGATATGACTATGAATATCATGATTTCATTGTCATCAGAAGTCTCTGATGATCTGCCTTGCAGGAACAGAATACTACAAAACATACAGTATGAACACACCATTACCTTTACCATAGTATCCTCTGTGGTTTCTCAAGGCCGGCATTTTTACACTTGGTTCTCTCAGTAGAAGCTCATCTGGTAATATGTATGAAGATGTGAATCACTTTTACATCATCCTGACTTGCTCATGGTCCAACTTGATTTGGCACGGCACAGAACTGCACCATTCTGTCAACTATTCTGTTTGCAGTTGTATACCACTGAGATCATCAGGACACCCATTTTTCAATCATGCATTCTGGTTCGATGACAGGCATGTCTTAGGTGTATTGTGCGAAGAAAACCCTTATTCACTTGAACCCCATTTGCCTTTCCTATTAACACCCCTCTTTTGTCGGCAAGTGTCTTATCTTTTTAGACAGAAATTCAATGCAAGCATTATTCTCTGTGCAGATTTTGGTTGTGTGAAAGTGTAACAAAATTGAGAAGAGAATGTAACAAAGTGTTTCAGAACATAATTCATCCATGCATGCCTTTTTGGCTGTCAGTTCCTGTTCTGATAAGAAAAGTGTGTATCTCATCTGTAGAATGAAGCAATTTACATGCATGACATCAGAGATGGTAGTGATGGCACAGTTAGAGAAATCATGTCTGACGTCATTTCAAACTAAAAGTTATACCTTTTTGTTTCCCTTACAGAATATGGGTAAAGGTCCTAATGGGGGGGATTTAATTGTAAGTAGATTTTGTTCATATTCTATTATTTCTTTGAGTAATAATCTTCTTCCATGCAATAAACATCCCTTTTGTTATTCTGCACCTCCCAGAAAGCTTTTTCAGAGACCCCCAGAGCAGAAACAGAGCAGGCAGGGCCAAAATATTTGACCTGTTCGCTTTCCCTTTAAAAAAACTTCTATATCCCTTAAAACAACATCAACTCCCCCACTGAAGTGATGGTACCCCTGAGTATCAAGTGGCAAAGGGAGAAACCTCTCTTTTGGGCTGTCCCCAAGGGATGCTTTTTGGATCTTCTCCAAAGTTACTTTTCCATGCTTGTGGTTTTTCTCTCTGCAAAATGGTAAATTGTTGGCTCAAATGGTCTTTCTGCCAGTTCCAGGTTTGCTAGTAAAGTGTCTTTCCTCATTTCCCTTTTCATAATTAATTTTATCAGAATACTGTATATTTTGGAAAACCAGCTTGACTCTGTTATCCTTGAAAAGGAATAGTGAGCTTTTGGATAGGCTTTGAAGATTCTGTTAATATGCCCAACCACATAATAGTGGTTTTCCTAGAATCCCTAACATGATTTTTCTTGACTTTGCCTATCTCGAAGTGTTGATGTGGCTTTATATATCTATTCTGGTGATATGAGGCCATTCATATCAATATCTGCTGTGATTTTCAAGGACTCACTATTTTATTTTAGGGGACTGCAGTGGCTCAGGCAAGACCCACACAGATGCTTCGATCATGCATTAGCATAATTTATAAAGGAATCCATAAAGAGGATATTTTTTTTTCTTTTTCTTTATAGCAACAAGGACTAAAACTATTACCTACTATCAGGAAATGTGGGCTGGGAAAACTAATAGTAAGTAAATACACACATACCTTCTCTCATTTCTTCTTTGTTTTCTATGCTGCTGTGTTCAGAGAAAAGTAACCCCTGGATGAAAACTGCTGAAGAGTAGGATGTTGTGTAAATTTGGTAGGAAGGCTTTTCCTTCACTTGCTTCAAAAACTAACATGAACTCATGTTCACCTATGACATGTAATCACATCGTAATCACATTCCTGAAAGGGCTTTAACTCCAGGTACAGTCAATTAAAGGTCTTCTAACTCAACAATCAACTTATGTGTCAATACACACATCCAATATCAGCATAAATTCAATGCCACAGTATATCTCAGTGCATACAGGGAGTTCTCATTTTATGACGATATGAGATATGGAGGTGGTAGTGATCACATGGATGCTGAGATCTGAGGTATTATTTAGAGTAGAATAGTTGCCTTTTGTTTCCCTTTTAGAGCTTTGCTCGTGCCCATGGATTGTTCCTATGTTATGTCCTGGGCCTACTGAGTGACTCAGCAGGTTCAGGAAGCTGCAGAGAGGCCTGGGCAGACCACGTGGATGCCTGGGACCAGACAGGCTGTCTCCAGCCTATTGCGCATGCATAAGGCGGGAGAAATACATTGCATTGATTGGCTGACACTGTCCCTGCAAAGGGGTATAAAAGGAATCCATGCCATTTTGTTTTTGGTTCTGTTGGAGATTGAATAAAGAGAAGACTGTTATTACTCCTGCCTCGTCTCAATGCCTCTTCATCGAGAACAGAACATTGGTGATGAAGGTGGGATGTGCTGCAAGGGAAACAATGAAAAGAAGATAGGCTGACTCACCACAGAAGGCCTGAAGCACTGGAAAGTTCGGCATCTGAAGAGTGCAACTCTGCCTGCCAGTACGAGAACCCTGGAGGAGAGCTCGGCAGAAAGGGACCCCTTCTCAAGCCTTGCAGCATGAGGCATTGACAAGGCCGCTGGGAAGTACTGATGTCCAAGCTGGGCTGTCTGTCGGAGTTCGACACAGCTCATCTGAAACGTTGGAATTCTTACGTGGCCTGGGTAGAGAACTACCTTCGGGTAAACCAAGTTCGGGAGGATGGTCTTAAAGCTGCTATGCTACTGTGTGTCTGTGAGCAAGAAACTTTCGATATTGCTGAGAATCTGGTCACCCTAGCACCACTTGAATCCATTGCTTATTCTGAGCTGAAGAGGATGTTGCGAGAACACTTTGAACCGAAGCTTTTGGTGATTGCGTGGCGACATGCATTCAAGCAGAGGGACCAGCATCCTGGAGAGTCTGCTGCGGACTTTATTGCTGCATTGCGACAAGCAACTAGGCCATGCGAATTCAACGACCTGGAAGAAAGACTTTGGGATTGTTTAGTTTGTAGACTGAGAAGTCGTGAACTGCAACAGAAGATCTTCGCAAAGGAAGATGTTTCCTTCCAGGACGCCCTGAGAAAGATTTCAGCAGATGAAGCAGCGGGCAGAGCTGTGAAGGCCTTGCAACTCGCCAAGAACCCTCCAACTTCGAGTTTACTCCACCAAGAGGTTGCTTGAGAGGTATCCGAATGGGATGCAGAGATGGAGGTTGACCGATTGCAGCAGCCAGCAGAAATAAGGCCCCAGGAGCGAAACAACAAGGCAACTTCATTCCCTCAGTGTTTCAGATGTGGAGGACGCCACAAGCGCTCCAATTGCTGTTTCCGCTCCGCCATTTGCCAGACATGTGACAGGCAAGACCACATAGCCACCATTTGTTTAGATCGCTAGAAGGACTGGTCTTCGGAAGAATTGCTTCAGAAAGGTACCAGGGTCCCCAGCCAGAATAGGGTGGGTTTTTCTGCATCCCGTAGAAGCATCTTTAAAACTGGGGCCCATAGGCCGCTAAGAAAGAAGCTTCACATTAACGTCAAGTTGCAGGGGGTTCCCCTTTCGATGGAGTTGGACTCAGGATCCGCTTTATCGATCATATCTCAGGACACTTTCAAGAAAATTTGTTGTAGAAGCGGCCAGTGAGTCAAACTCAGGCCGTCAAATTTAATTCTTACTGACTTCTAGAATTCCTGAGTCAGCGTGAAGGGGGACGCCACGCTCAAGGTGCAGCATAGGAACTTTGAGGGGTTGTTGGATGTAGTTCTGGTTGGGGCTGACCGCCCGAGTCTTATTGGACTCGATTGGTTTGAGGCCCTTGGGATTCAAGTGGCCGGACTTCACAGCTTGCAAACAAAGGCCTTGCAGCAGTTTGCAAGGAGTTTGCTGATGTGTTCAGTCCAGAACTTGGATCGTACAAGGGGTCTCCCATTGCTTTACGGTTAGACCCATCCGCCACCCCCATTAGGATTAAGCCCCATCAGGTGCTCTTCACACTGAAGAGCAAGATCAATGCAGAGCTGGACAAGCTGCTTCAGCAGGATATTCTTGAATCCGTAGACAGTAGTCCATGGGAAACTCCCATAGTTATGCCACTGAAGGCCAATGGAGAAGTCCACATTTGTGCAGACTACAAGTGTCCACTTAACAAAGCATTGTAGCAGCATTCGTATCCGGTTTCTGTGGTGAGCCACATTTTGGCATCCCTCAAAGGAGGCCAAGTCTTTGCCAAGCTTGACTTGGCTCAAGCCTATCAACAACTACCAGTTGATGAGGCAGAGGCCCAAACAATTGTAATGCACCGGGCAGTGTTTAAGGTTAAAAGGCTGCAGTTTGGGGTTAACGTAGCCCCTGGCATTTTCCAAAGCATGATGGAGCGAATGCTCCGCAATATTCTAGGAGTTTGCCCTTACTTTGATGATGTCCTCATCGCTGGGGAATCATCCAAAAATCTTGCTGAGAGGCTTAGGGCCGTCTTGCTGCATTTCCGCCAAGCAGGGCTGAAGCTAAAGCAAGACAAATGTAAAATTGGAGTAAACTTGTACAGAGTTTCTGGGGTTCTGTATTGATACTGAAGGCATCCATCCTGCTGAATCTAAGCTCAAGGCAATTCAGCAGGCCCCAAATCCCAAGTCAAAGAGCGAATTACAGGCTTTTCTGGGCCTATTAAACTTTTACCATTCATTCCTCCCTAACAAGGCTGCAGTGGCTGAGCCGTTACACCAGCTCTTGGACAAACAGGCTCCATGGCTGTGGACAAAAGTCCATGAAAGGAGTTTTGCAGAGGTCAAGGCCTTGCTTTCTTCAAATGCAGTTCTAGCGCATTTCAATGAGCAACTGCCTGTGTGCATAGCCTGTGATGCATCCCCTTATGGAACTGGGGCTGTGTTAAGTCACCTCAAGGCGGATGGGACACAAGTAGCTACTATTCTAGGACTCTCTCATCTGCTGAGCATAATTACGCGCAGATTGACAGAGAAGCCTTGGCCATAGTAGCGGGCATAAACAAGTTCCATGACTTTTTATATGGTCACCAGTTCACGGTCTTCACAGATCATAAGCCATTGCTGGGGTTGTTTACAACCAACAAGCAAATCCCATACATAATCTCTCCTAGAATGCTGAGATGGTCAATTTTCCTTTCTGCATTTGACTACTCACTGGTTCATAAACCAGGCAAAGAAATGGGCCATGCAGAAGGCTTCAGCAGACTACCTCTACAGCTAGTAGAGTCTCATCCTGCTCCAATAACGAGATACTGTCCATTCAGGATTTGCCTGAGTCTCCCCTCAATGCTAGGGATGTGTCTGCAGAAACAGCCACTGATCACACGGTAACACGTGTGTTAACATGGGTGCTGTTAGGATGGCCTGACACGTGTCCTGGCACAGAGTTCCAGAGTTTCTGGAAGAGGAAACACAAGCTGCCACCTTCTTTTTTTATTTATTTATTTTATTTTATTTTTAACCAACAAAACAAAACAAAGCAAAACATAACACACATACACACACAGTATATACTCCTCCCCCTTTTTTTAACAGCAATTACGTAACGATAATCTTCTATTATTTACATTTTCCCCCTTATTCTTCTTTAGAATATTTGTCCTTATTGCCCCGTTGTTTCTTATTTACATTTTTCTTCCTTCATATTCTACTTCTTACTAAGAATAATTCATATTATTATCATTATACATTATTATACACATATTTTCACTTTTGACCTTTCCATATTTATTCTCCTCTATTATTTCTAGTCTCAAACCAGTCATACCACTTGTTCCATGTTATATAGTACTCTGTGTCTTCCTTTTCAAGCTGCCACCATCAAGGGGTGTATCCTATGGGGTAGCAGGGTAGTGATCCCAGCCTCATTGAGGACTAGAGTCTTGCTCTCTCTGCATGAGGGACATCCGGGAATAGTCTGAATGAAGGTGCTTGCGCACAGCCATCTTTGGTAGCCTGGGCTCGATAAAGAGATTGAGGCCCAGGTCCACGGGTGCACCATTTGCCAACAGTCCAGGCCTGAAATGCCTCAGGCTCCTGTACATAGGTGGGAGGAGACACATGCCCCTTGGTCGAGGGTTCATATCGACTACGCTGGCCCCTTTCAGGGGCAATTCTTCCTTCTCCTCATGGACAGCCATTCCAAGTGGCGAGAGATCGTTCCAGTCTCCTCCACAACTGCTGCCATCCAGGTGTTGAGGGGGATCTTCACCTCTCATGGGCTTCCAGATGTCCTTGTTTCCGACACCAGACCTGAATTCACTTCTTCTGAGTTTCAGGCTTTTCTACAGGCCAACATGATCCATCATGCCACATCTGCACCATTGCATCCAGAGTTCAACGGTCAAGCTGAGTGTATGGTGCGCAAAAACAAAGATGCATTAAAGAGGGTCACTCACGGAAGCTGGCATCACAGGTTAGCTGACTTTCTTCTTTGCCACCGCACCACACCTTGCATAGCCACTGGAAAAAAACAGGTGAACTCCGCTGGGGTAGTAGAGTCATTACAAAACTGGACAGGTTGCACCCAGACCAGGTAGCTTCACAGGTATCACAGCTGTGGGCACCTAGGAGACTACAGGTGAGCGATCTGGTCTGGACAAGGAACTATGGACCTGCACATTTCTGGGTGACAGCAGTGGTCTGCAAAGTCACTGGGCCGCTGTCATACAAAGTGACCTTGGATGATGGTCGTGTGTTACATCAACACATCGACCAACTGCGCTGGAGGCTTCCCAGCCACACTTCCGCTCCTGACTCTGCCCTCGGTGGGGAGGGGGACCACGATTATGATCATGGACCGCAGTCTCTCTGCAAAAGCGGAACTTCACATACACCAGTAGGGGGTTTTGCCAATGAGGTGGCTCCTGACTCTGGCACCGGCACCGGCTCCATGGGACATTGCTTGCAACCAGCTGCTCAGGCCATTCCATCTACTGGTCTTGGGCTCACGTTACAGTGCTCCCAAGAGGGGTCCATTGTGGACTTGGGGAATTCCTCCCCACTAAGGAACTCTGGTCTGGGTTTACAGGATCTGATCAGTCAGCATGATGAAGGGTCGTCTGAATCTAGGGGGCATCAAAGTCCTGGTCTGACGAGCCTGGAAGGCGAGCTTGCGGACCAGGCAATCAGAACCGCTCCAAGAAGGTCAGAGCGAGCCAGAGGTCCACCCAAACACTTACAGGAGTATGTAAGATTCCTGTCAGGAGGTGGGCAGGTTTAAGGGTACTTAGAAATCAGAACATGCTGAAAAGAACAAGTGCTCAATTTATAGAGATGTGAAATAGTAGGTGTTACTGTGTTGTGGATAAAGGATTGACAAGGTATTAGAATTGTAGTATTGTAAAATATTAAGTACTATGTTTTGAAATAAGAGGGGAGAGGTGTTATGTCCTGGGCCTGCTGAATAACTCAGCAGGTGCAGGAAGCTGCAGAGAGGCCTGGGCAGACCACATGGATGCCCGGGACCAGACAGGCTGTCTCCAGCCTATTGCACATGTGTAAGGTGGGAGAAATACATTGCATTGATTGGCTGACACTGTCCCTGCAAAGGGGTATAAAAGGAATCCACGCCATTTTGTTTTCGGTTCTGTTGGAGATTGAATAAAGAGAAGACTGTTGTTACTACTGCCTCATCTCAATGCCTTTTCATCGAGAACAGAACACATAAGTAGCTTTTTTTTAGATTCTGCTGTTTGTTTCTTTCAAGTTCTTCATGGGTCTGAACAAGCATCTCTTTGATCTTTCTTCCTCCTAACACCAAAAGTATCTCCAGATTCACGAGGGCATAATTACAGAAGCTTGCGCTAAAGCAGCGGTTCTCAACCTATGGGTCGTGACCATTTTACAGGGGTCGCCAAACAATGTGATCCGCCATTTTTCCCCTTCAGGGGGTGCCGCCGCTCATGCGCGCTGCGCATGGGGGCGGTGCCACGCATGCGCACCACGCATGGGGTGGCACCACGCATGCGCACTGCGCATGGGTGACCGTGTGACCAGGGGTCGCCGTATAAAAAGGTTGAGAACCACTGTGCTAAAGCATTTGGTTTTTATTTTTCTTTCAAATAACTGACCCCTTAATAATAGATGCCGCAGCCAAATTGGGGTGAAGGTTCCCCAAAATGGACTGAGCAGCAAAATGGAGAGGTTGGACCTCACCACACATGTCCATGTGGGAAAGAGGGCAAGAGATCAAATGTGGATGGTGATATCTACCGAGACATGGTGAATTGTCCTCAGGAAGAAATTTCACAATTTATGCAATGATACCACAGCTTGCATGTCCTTGTATTTACATGATCAGGATGTCCATGCTCCTTATCTGGCATCCATAATCCAGCATGACTTTTTTCTTCTTCTTGCAGGGTGGTGGTGGAGCAGGTGGACTTATGAATATGCTTGGAGTAAGTCAAGACGTATCTAATGCCCCTCATTTGCATTACATTTTCTGTTACTTCTTGTGTACAAAACCACAACCATCCTCTTGAGATTCAACTCTCTCGCCCCCCCCCTCCATCTCCTGAAAATCCTGGATCAATTCTGCTAGGAATTTGGATATTGTAAGGAATGTTGAAGGGATGAATTTGGTGGTGGTGTAGAAAGTCCTTGCTGATGGCTGGTTTCTTATTGCTTATGAAATCCTGTAGCCAACCGAATGCAGCTGCTGTGTTCAGAGAAAAGTAACCCCTGGATGAAAACTGTTGAAGAATAGGACGTTGTGTAAATTTGGTAGGAAGGCTTTTCCTTCACTTGCTTCAATAACTAACATGAACTCATGTTCACCTATGACATGTAATCACATCATGTAACATTCCTGAAAGGGCTTTAACCCCAAGTACAGTCAATTAAAGGTCTTCTATCTCAGCAATCAACTTATGTGTCAATACACACATCCAATATCAGCATAAATTCAATGCCACAGTATATCTCAGTGCATACAGAGAGTTCTCGTTTTGTGACAATACGAGATAGGAAGGTGGTAGTGATCACATGGATGCAGAAATCTGGGGTATTATCAGAGTAAACAGTTACCTTTTGTTTCCCTTTTAGAGCTTTCTTGGTGATGGTGGTGGATTGTTTGTAAGTAGCATTTTTTTAGATTCTGCCTTTTGTTTCTTTCATGTTCTTCCTTGGTCTCAACAAGCACCTCTTTGTCTTTCTTCCTCCTAACACCAAAACTATCTCCAGAGTCACAAGGGCATAATTACAGGACCTGAGATAAAGCATTTGGTTTTTATTTTTCTTTCAAATAAGTGACCCCTTAGTAATAGATGTAGCAGCCGTATTGGAGTGAAGATTCCCCCTGTGGATTGAGCAGCAAAGTTGGGGGGATATTGATATCTACTGAGATATGGTGAATTGTTTCCTCGAGGAAGTAATTTAACAATTTATGCAATGATTCCACAGCCTGCGTGTTCTTGTATTTACATCATCAGGATGTTCCTGATCCTTATCTGGCATCCATAATCCTGCATGACTTGTTTTCTTCTTCTTGCAGAAAAGTGGTGGTGGTGGAGGAGGAGGAGGTGGACTTCTCAGTATGCTTGGAGTAAGTCAACACGCATCTAATGCCTCTCATTTGCATTACATTTTCTTTTACTTCTTGTGTACAAAACCACAGCCATCCTCTTGAGAGTCAACTTTCTCACCCCCGCCTCCCCGCATCTCCTGAAAATCCTGGATCAATTCTACTAGGAATTTGGATATTGTAAGGAATGTTGAAGGGATGAATTCGTAGAGAGCCATGAACTTGACCTTGGAGAAATCAGGCAGAGTAAAGTGGTAGTGATCACATGTTTCTTTCATGTTCTTCCTTAGTCTGAACAAGCACCTCTTTGATCTTTCTTCCTCCTAACACCAAAAGTATCTCCAGAGTCACCAGGGCATAATTACAGGAGCATGCGCTAAAGCATTTGGTTTTTATTTTTCTTTCAAATAAGTGACCCCTTAATAATAGATACCACAGCCAAATTGGGGTGAAGATTTTCCCTGTGGACTGAGCAGGAAAGTGGAGGTGTTGGACCTCACCACATATGTCCATGTGGGGAAGAGGGGAAGAGATCAAATGTGGATGGTGATATCTACCGAGACATGGTGAATTGTCCTCAGGAAGAAATTTCACAATTTATGCAATGATACCACAGCTTGCATGTCCTTGTATTTACATGATCAGGATGTCCATGCTCCTTATCTGGCATCCATAATCCAGCATGACTTTTTTCTTCTTCTTGCAGGGTGGTGGTGGTGGAGCAGGTGGACTTATGAATATGCTTGGAGTAAGTCAACACGTATCTAATGCCTCTGATTTGCATTACATTTTCTGTTACTACTTGTGTACAAAACCACAACCATCCTCTTGAGATTCAACTCTCTGCCCCCCCCCCACATCTCCTGAAAATCTCGGATCAATTCTACTAGGAATTTGGATATTGTAAGGAATGTTGAAGGGATGAATTTGTAGAGAGCCATGAACTTGACCTTGGAGAAATCAGGCAGAGAGGAATTTTTGCAAAAACAGGTTTTAAGACCTGAAAGCAGAAAAAGCATGAGAGAGAAGCTAAGAGGTATTCTTGCCTCACTCAGTAGAGGACCACAGGGAGGGAGGGAGGGAGGGAGGGAGGGAGGAGAAAACCTAGTCAGGTTTTAGAGCTACTTGGTGTACCAAAGCCCTGCACCATATGTTCACTCATCATGCCGTTTGACCTGAATGTACAGTTATCTATGGATCTGCAAACCTATAATGTCTTCCTCATTTCCTACAAGGGGATTCCATTATTGACCTACTATGCAGGTCTATATGAAGATATGCATTAGGGAAATCTAGGTGGTTTTGGTGTTTTTTTTTCTGACCAGTAAAAATCTGACTTTGAGCTAAACATTTATTAGAAATTAAAAGAGGTCATGACATTCTTCTCTGGGATTTCAGAGATTGGGTTTCTTCCTGTAGCTGCCCAGGAAATCACATAAGGGAGATCTCGATGGACAGAGGAATCTGTTTCTGCAACCATAACTACCTTTTAGTTTTCTAAGCCAAAGCTTTTCAATCAGTGGTACAGGTACCACCTGTGGTACATTGGCACCTGGCACATGGTATGCAATCATCCTAGAAAAGTGGTAGCAGGGGAGGGAACCGGTGGCAGCACCGCACAAGCCTGAGCAAGAGATGGCTGGAGCTGCAGGGCTGTCAGGGCTCAGCGGAAGCACCAGGATCTGTGCCAGACTCCAGCTGGAGCTCAGTGCTGATGCTAGCGCCTCTGCTGAGTCCAGAAGAAGCACCCATCAACTGGAATGTTGTAGCATCTCCAGGGTCTTGTGATTTACATTCAGATGCTTGGCAACTGATTCATATTTATGATGGTCACAGTATCCCAGGGTCATGTGAAGTCACCAAAACCTGCTGCAACCACCCAGCAGATGGGGGGGGAATAAAAACCAAACACCCCTCCACCCCATCCCTGCTGCCATTCTCAACAGAAATGCTCACAACAATGAAAACCTCAAACAGAAGGAAGAGCGCCACCAGGTGGGCAGGCAGGGCTATTGCTTGGCTGTGCCTTGGGGGGGCCTTTTTTCAGTGCTATTGTAACTTTGAACATTCACTAAACGAACTGTTGTAAGTCGAGGACTACCTGTACTTTATCACTTTTTTCCTTGTTTTTTTTCTTTTGGTCATCATGTTTTTGACACCTTGCTAGGCAACTGGTGATACTCAGATATTGCCATATCCTAAAAGTGGTACCCCCTTTATGGATTACTGCCTTGTCGTGGCGATTGGGCTTGTGTAACTCAATGAAGCTATAAGCTATGCCGTGCAGGGCCACCCAAGACGGACAGGTTATAGCAGAGAGTTCTGACAAAATGTGATCCACTGGAGAAGGAAATGGCAAACCACTCCAGTATCTTTGCCATGAAAACCCCATGGACAGTACTAAAAGGAAAAAGATATGACGCTGGAAGATGAGCCCCTCAGGTCGGAAGGTGTCCAATATGCTACTGGGGAAGAGCAGAGGGCTAGTACTAGTAGCGCCAGAAAGAATGAAGCGACTGGGCCAAAGCCGAAAGGACGCTCAGCTGTGGATATATCTGGTGGTGAAAGGAAAGTCCGATGCTGTAAAGATTTTTTCTCCATAGGAACCTGGAATGTAAGATCCATGAATCAAGGCAAGCTAGACGTAGTCAAAAAAGAGATGACAAGACTGAACATCGACATCTTAGGAATCAGCGAACTAAAATGGACAGGAATGGGTGAATTTAACTCAGATGACCATCAGGTATACTACTGTGGGCAAGAATCCCTCAGAAGAAATGGAGTAGCCTTCATAGTCACTAAAAGAATAGGAAAAGCAATACTGGGATACAATCCTCAAAATGACAGAATGATCTCAATTCGAGTCCAAGGCAAACCATTCAATATCACAGTAGTCCAAATCTATGCCCCAACCACTGGTGCTGAAGAGGATGAAATTGACCGGTTCTATGAAGCCCTACAGCACCTTATAGAATTAACACCAAAAAATGATGTCCTTATCATCATGGGGGATTGGAATGCTAAGGTAGGAAGCCAAAAGATAACCGGAATAACAGGCAAGTTTGGCCTTGGAGTACAAAATGAAGCAGGGCACAGGCTAATAGAATTTTGTCAAGAGAATACGATGGTCATAACAAACACTCTTTTCCAACAACCCAAGAGACGGCTCTACACATGGACATCACCAGACGGTCAACATAGAAATCAGATTGACTATGTGCTCTGCAGCCAAAGATGGAGAAGCTCTATACAGTCAGTAAAAACAAGACCAGGAGCTGACTGTGGCTCAGATCATGAGCTTCTCGTTGCAAAATTTAGGCTTAAATTGAAAAAAGTAGGGAAAAGCACTAGGCCACTCAGGTATGAACTAAATCATATTCCTAATGAATATACAGTGACAAATAGATTTAAGGAACTGGATCTGATAGACAGAGTGCCTGAAGAACTATGGATGGAAGTTCGCAACATTGTACAAGAGGTAGCAACTAAAACCATCCCAAAGAAAAAGAAATGCAAGAAAGCAAAATGGCTGTCTGAGGAAGCTTTGCAAATAGCTGAGGAAAGAAGGGAAGCGAAAGGCAAAGGAGAAAGAGAAAGATACACCCAATTGAATGCAGAATTCCAGAGAGTAGCTAGAAGAGATAAGAATGCCTTCTTAAATGAACAGTGCAAAGAAATAGAAGAAAACAACAGAATAGGGAGGACCAGAGATCTCTTCAAGAAAATTGGAGATATGAAGGGAACGTTTCATGCAAAGATGGGCATGATAAAGGACCAAAATGGCAGAGACCTAACAGAGGCAGAAGAGATTAAGAAGAGATGGCAAAACTACACAGAAGAACTATACAAGAATGAGCTTAACATCCCAGATAACCACAATGAGATGGTCATTGACCTCGAACCAGACATCCTAGAATGTGAAGTGAAATGGGCCTTAGAAAATCTGAGCAACAACAAAGCTAGTGGAGGTGACAGTATTCCAGCTGAGCTATTCAAAATCTTAAAAGACATGCAGTAAAAGTGCTACACTCAATTTGCCAGCAAATTTGGAAAACTCAACAGTGGCCACAGGATTGGAAAAGGTCAGTTTACATTCCAATTCCAAAGAAAGGCAATGCCAAAGAATGTTCAAACTATCACACCATTGCACTCATTTCACATGCTAGTAAAGTTATGCTTAAAATCCTACAAGCTAGACTCCAGCAGTATGTGGATCGAGAACTTCCAGAAGTACAGGCAGGATTTCGAAGAGGCAGAGGAACTAGAGATCAAATTGCCAACATACGCTGGATCATGGAGAAAGCTAGGGAGTTCCAGAAAAACATCTACTTCTGCTTCATTGACTATGCAAAAACCTTTGATTGTGTGGATCACAACAAATTGTGGCAAGTTCTTAAAGAGATGGGAGTACCAGACCATCTCATTTGTCTCTTGAGAAACCTATATGCGGGTCAAGAAGCAACAGTGAGAACTGGACACGGAACCACTGATTGGTTCAAAATTGGAAAAGGAGTCCGGCAAGGCTGTATACTGTCGCCCTGCCTATTTAACTTATATGCAGAGCACATCATGAGAAAGGCAGGGCTAGATGAATCAAAAGTTGGAATTAAGATTGCCGGGAGAAATATCAACAACCTAAGATATGCAGATGATACCACTCTAATGGCAGAAAGTGAAGAGGAACTAAAGAGCCTCTTGATGCGGGTGAAGAAGGAGAGTGCAAAAGTTGGCTTGAAACTCAACATTAAGAAAACCAAAATCATGGCATCCGGCCCTCTCAATTCCTGGCAAATAGATGGGGAAGAAATGGAGGTAGTGACAGATTTTATTTTTCTGGGCTCCAAGATCACCTCAGATGGGGACTGCAGCCAAGAAATTAAAAGACGCTTGCTCCTGGGGAGGAAAGCTATGGCAAATCTAGACAGCATTCTAAAAAGCAGGACATCACCCTGCCAACAAAAGTGCGCATAGTCCAGGCCATGGTTTTCCCAGTTGCAATGTATGGCTGTGAAAGTTGGACCATAAGAAAGGCTGAGCGCAAAAGAATTGAGGCCTTTGAACTATGGTGCTGGAGAAGACTCCTGCGAGTCCCTTGGACTGCAAGGCGTTCAAACCGGTCAGTCCTAGAAGAGATCAACCCCGACTGCTCTTTAGAAGGCCAGATCCTGAAGTTGAAACTCAAGTACTTTGGCCACCTAATGAGAAGGAAGGATTCACTGGAGAAGAGCCTAATGCTGGGAAAGATTGAGGGCAATAGAAGAAGGGGATGACAGAGAATGAGATGGCTGGATGGAGTCACTGAGGCAGTAGGTGTGAATTTAAATGGACTCCAGAAGATGGTAGAGGACAGGAAGACCTGGAGGAACGTTGTCCATGGGGTCGTGATGGGTCGGACACGATTTCGCAATTAACAACAACAACAAAAGTGGTACAATGGGCGAAAAGGTTGAAAAGCCCTAGTGTAGCCAACCGAATGCAGCTGCTGTGTTCAGAGAAATGTAACCCCTGGATGAAAATTGTTGAAGAATAGGATGTTGTGTAAATTTGGTAGGAAGGTTTTCCTTTCACTTGCTTCAAAAACTAACATGAACTCATGTTCGCCTATAACATGTGATCACATCATGTAACATTTCTGAAAGGGCTTTAACTCCAGGTACAGTCAATTGAAGGTCCTCCATCTCATCAATAAACTTATGTGTCAATACACTCATCCAATATCAGCATAAAATCAATGCCACAGTATATCTCAGTGCATACAGGGAGTTCTCATTTTGTGACGATACGAGATAGGAAGGTGGTAGTGATCACATGGATGCTGAAATCTGGGGTATTATCAGAGTAGAACAGTTACCTTTTGTTTCCCTTTTAGAGCTTTCTTTGTGGTGCTGGTGGATTGTTCATAAGTAGCTTTTTTTAGATTCTGCAGGTTGTTTCTTTCAAGTTCTTCCTTGGTCTGAACAAGCACCTCTTTGATCTTTCTTCCTCCTAACACCAAAAGTATCTCCAGAGTCACAAGGGCATAATTACAAGAGCCTGCGCTAAAGCATTTGGTTTTTATTTTTCTTTCAAATAAGTGACCCCTTAATAATAGATGCCGCATCCAAATTGGGGTGAAGATTCCCCCTATGGACTGAGCAGGAAAGTGGAGGTGTTGGACCTCACCACATATGTCCATGTGGGGAAGAGGGGAAGAGATCAAATGTGGATGGTGATATCTACCGAGACATGGTGAATTGTCCTCAGGAAGTAATTTCACAATTTATGCAATGATACCACTGCTTGCATGTCCTTGTCTTTACATGATCATTCTCCTTATCTGGCATCCATAATCCAGCATGACTTTTTTCTTCTTCTTGCAGGGTGGTGGTGGTGGAGCAGGTGGACTTATGAATATGCTTGGAGTAAGTCAACATGTATCTAATACCTCTCATTTGCATTACATTTTCTGTTACTTCTTGTGTACAAAACCACAACCATCCTCTTGAGATTCAACTCTCTGCCCCCCCCCCACATCTCCTGAAATCCCGGATCAATTCTACTAGGAATTTGGATATTGTAAGGAATGTTGAAGGGTTGAATTTATAGAGAGCCATGAACCTGACCTTGGAGAAATCAGGCAGAGAGGAATTTTTGCAGAAACAGGTTTTAAGACCTGAAAGCAGAAAAAGCATGAGAGAGAAGCTAAGAGGTATTCTTGCCTCACTCAGTAGAGGACCACAGGGATGGAGGGAGGGAGGGAGGAGAAAACCTAGTCAGGTTTTCTAGCTACTTGGTGTACCAAAGCCCTGCACTATATTTTCACCCATCATGCCGTTTGACCGGTGAATGTACAGTTATCTATGGATCTGCAAACTTAAAATGTCTTCCTCATTTCCCACAAGGGGATTCCATTATTGCCTTACTATGCAGGTCTATATGAAGATATGCATTAGGGAAGCCTAGGTGGTTTTGGTGTTTTTTTTTCTGACCAGTAAAAATCTGACTTTGAGCTAAACATTTATTTGAAATTAAAAGAGGTCATGCCATTCTTCTCTGAGATTTCAGAGATTGGGTTTCTTCCTGTAGCTGCCCAGGAAATCATATAAGGGAGATCTCAATGGACAGAGGCATCTGTTTCTGCAACCATAACTACCTTTTAGTTTTCTAAGCCAAAGCTTTTCAACGAGTGGTACAGGTACCACCTGTGGTACATTGGCACCTGGCAGGTGGTATGCAATCATCCTAGAAAAGTGGTAGCAGCGGAGGGAACCGGTGGCAGCACCGCACAAGCTTGAGCAAGAGATGGCTGGAGCTGCAGGGCTGTCAGGGCTCAGTGGAAACACCAGGATCTGTGCCAGGCTCCAGCTGGAGCTCAGTGCTGATGCTAGCGCCTCTGCTGAGTCCAGAAGAAGCACCCATCAACTGGAATGTTGTAGCATCTCCAGGGTCTTGTGATTTACATTCAGATGCTTGGCAACTGATTCATATTTATGATGGTCACAGTATCCCAGGGTCATGTGAAGTCACCAAAACCTGCTGCAACCACCCAGCAGATGGGGGGGGGAATAAAAACCAAACACCCCTCCACCCCATCCCTGCTACCATTCTCAACAGAAATGCTCACAACAATGAAAACCTCAAACAGGAGGAAGAGCGCCACCAGGTGGGTAGGCAGGTGTCTTGCTTGGCTGTACCTTGGGGGGCCCTTTTTTCAGTGCTATTGTAACTTTGAACATTCACTAAGCGAACTGTTGTAAGTCGAGGACTACCTGTACTTTATCACTTTTTTCCTTGTTTTTTTTCTTTTGGTCATCATGTTTTTGACACCTTGCTAGGCAACTGGTGATACTCAGATATTGCCATATCCTAAAAGTGGTACAATGGGTGAAAAGGTTGAAAAGCCCTAGTGTAGCCAACCGAATGCAGCTGCTGTGTTCAGAGAAATGTAACCCCTGGATGAAAATTGTTGAAGAATAGGATGTTGTATAAATTTGGTAGGAAGGCTTTTCCTTCACTTGCTTCAAAAACTAACATGAACTCATATTCGCCTATAACATGTGATCACATCATGTAACATTTCTGAAAGGGCTTTAACTCCAGGTACAGTCAATTGAAGGTCCTCCATCTCATCAATAAACTTATGTGTCAATACACTCATCCAATATCAGCATAAATTCAATGCCACAGTATATCTCAGTGCATACAGGGAGTTTTCATTTTGTGACGATACGAGATAGGAAGGTGGTAGTGATCACATGGATGCTGAAATCTGGGGTATTATCAGAGTAGAACAGTTACCTTTTGTTTCCCTGTTAGAGCTTTCTTGGTGGTGCTGGTGGATTGTTCATAAGTAGATTTTTTTTAGATTCTGCAGGTTGTTTCTTTCAAGTTCTTCCTTGGTCTGAACAAGCACCTCTTTGATCTTTCTTCCTCCTAACACCAAAAGTATCTCCAGAGTCACAAGGGCATAATTACAAGAGCCTGCGCTAAATCATTTGGTTTTTATTTTTCTTTCAAATAAGTGGCCCCTTAATAATAGATGCCGCATCCAAATTGGGGTGAAGATTCCCCCTGTGGACTGAGCAGGAAAGTGGAGGTGTTGGACCTCACCACATATGTCCATGTGGGGAAGAGGGGAAGAGATCAAATGTGGATGGTGATATCTACCGAGACATGGTGAATTGTCCTCAGGAAGTAATTTCACAATTTATGCAATGATACCACAGCTTGCATGTCCTTGTCTTTACATGATCATTCTCCTTATCTGGCATCCATAATCCAGCATGACTTTTTTCTTCTTCTTGCAGGGTGGTGGTGGTGGAGCAGGTGGACTTATGAATATGCTTGGAGTAAGTCAACACGTATCTAATACCTCTCATTTGCATTACATTTTCTGTTATTTCTTGTGTACAAAACCACAACCATCCTCTTGAGATTCAACTCTCTGTCCCCCCCCCCACATCTCCTGAAATCCCGGATCAATTCTACTAGGAATTTGGATATTGTAAGGAATGTTGAAGGGATGAATTTGTAGAGAGCCATGAACTTGACCTTGGAGAAATCAGGCAGAGAGGAATTTTTGCAAAAACAGGTTTTAAGACCTGAAAGCAGAAAAAGTATGAGAGAGAAGCTAAGAGGTATTCTTGCCTCACTCAGTAGAGGACCACAGGGATGGAGGGAGGGAGGGAGGAGAAAACCTAGTCAGGTTTTCTAGATACTTGGTGTACCAAAGCCCTGCACTATATTTTTACCCATCATGCCATTTGACCGGTGAATGTACAGTTATCTATGAATCTGCAAACTTAAAATGTCTTCCTCATTTCCCACAAGGGGATTCCATTATTGCCCTACTATGCAGGTCTATATGAAGATATGCACTGGTGAAGCCTAGGTGGTTTTGGTGTTTTTTTTTTCTGACCAGTAAAAATCTGACTTTGAGCTAAACATTTATTAGAAATTAAAAGAGGTCATGCCATTCTTCTCTGGGATTTCAGAGATTGGGTTTCTTCCTGTAGCTGCCCAGGAAATCATATAAGGGAGATCTCAATGGACAGAGGAATCTGTTTCTGCAACCATAACTACCTTTTAGTTTTCTAAGCCAAAGCTTTTCAATATGGAGATATGGTGAATTGTCCTCAGGAAGTAATTTCACAATTTATGCAATGATTCCACAGCTTGCATGTCCTTGTATTTACATGATCAGGATGTCCATGCTCCTTATCTGGCATCCATAATCCAGCATGACTTTTTTCTTCTTCTTGCAGAGTGGTGGTGGTGGTGGTGGAGCAGGTGGACTTATGAATATGCTTGGAGTAAGTCAACATGTATCTAATGCCCCTCATTTGCATTATATTTTCTGTTACGTCTTGTGTACAAAATCACAACCATCCTCTTGAGATTAAACTCTCTGCCCCCCCCCCACATCTCCTGAAAATCCCAGATCAATTCTACTAGGAATTTGAATATTTAAGGAATGTTGAAGGGATGAATTTGTAGAGAGCCATGAACCTGACCTGTGAGAAATCAGGCAGAGTGGAATTTTTGCAAAAACAGGTTTTAAGACCTGAAAGCAGAAAAAGTATGAGAGAGAAGCTAAGAGGTATTCTTGCCTCACTCAGTAGAGGACCACAGGGAGGGAGGGAGGGAGGGAGGAGAAAACCTAGTCAGGTTTTAGAGCTACTTGGCGTACCAAAGCCCTGAACCATATTTCACTCAACATGCCGTTTGACCGGTGAATGTACAGTTATCTATGGATCTGCAAACTTATAATGTCTTCCTCATTTCCCACAAGGGGATTCCATTATTGCCCTACTATGCAGGTCTCTATGAAGATATGCATTAGGGAAGCCTAGGTGGTTTTGGTGGGTTTTTTTTTCTGACCAGTAAAAATCTGACTTTGAGCTAAACATTTATTAGAAATTAAAAGAGGTCATGATATTCTTCTCTGGGATTTCAGAGATTGGGTTTCTTCCTGTAGCTGCACAAGAAATCATGTAAGAGAGATCTCGATGGACAGAGGAATCTGTTTCTGCAACCATAACTACCTTTCAATTTTCTAAGCTACCTGAAGCTGGAGGAGACATAGGAGGGAGGGACTATGTGAAAATGGATTAGAAAGCAGCTCTCTGTTATCAGGATGTCCCAGGAATAATGTGTGTAGAAAGTCCTTGCCGATGGCTGGTTTCTTATTGCCTGTCAAATCCTGTAGCCAACCAAATGCAGCTGCTGTGTTCAGAGAAATGTAACCCCTGGATGAAAACTGTTGAAGAATAGGACGTTGTGTAAATTTGGTAGGAAGGTTTTTCCTTCACTTGCTTCAATAACTATCATGAACTCATGTTCACCTATGATATGTGATCACATCATGTAACATCCCTGAAAGGGCTTTAACCCCAGGTACAGTCAATTGGAGGTCCTCCATCTCAGCAACCCACTTATGTGTCAATACATTCATCCAATATCAGAATAAATTCAATGCCACAGTATATCTCAGAGCATACAGGGAGTTCTCGTTTTGTGATGATACGAGATATGGAGGTGGTAGTGATCACATGGATGCTGAGATCTGGGGCATTATCAGAGTAGAACAGTTACCTTTTGTTTCCCTTTTTAGAGCTTCATTGGTGCCCATAGATTGTCCATAAGTAGCTTTTTTTTTAGATTCTGCCCTTCCTTTCTTTCAAGTTCTTTGTTGGTCTGAAGAAGCACCTCTTTGATCCTTCTTCCTCCTAACACCAAAAGTATCTCCAGAGTCACAAGGGCATAATTACAGGAGCCTGCGCTAAAACATTTCGTTTTTATTTTTCTTTCAAATAAGTGACCCCTTAATAATAGGTGCCGCAGCCAAATTGGGGTGAAGATTCCCCCTGTGGACTGAGCAGCAAAGTGGAGTTGTTGAACCTCACCACACATGTCCATTTGGGGAAGAGGGCAAGAGATCAAATATGGATGGTGATATCTACTGACATATGGTGAATTGTGTCCTTGAGGAAGTAATTTCACAATTTATGCAATGATACCACAGGTTGCATGCCCTTGCATTTACATGATCAGGATGTTCATGCTCCTTATCTGGCATCCATAATCCAGCATGACTTATTTTTTTCTTCTTGCAGGGTGGTGGTGGTGGAGGAAGAGGTGGACTTATGAATAGGCTTGGAGTAAGTCAACACACATCTAATGCCTCTCATTTGCATTACATTTTCTGTTATTTCTTGTGTACAAAACCACAGCCATCCTCTTGAGAGTCACGTCTCTCACACACACACCCCGCATCTCTTGAAAATCCTGGACCAATTCTACTAGGAATTTGGATATTGTAAGGAATGTTGAAGGGTTGAATTTATAGAGAGCCATGAACCTGACCTTGGAGAAATCAGGCAGAGAGGAATTTTTGCAGAAACAGGTTTTAAGACCTGAAAGCAGAAAAAGCATGAGAGAGAAGCTAAGAGGTATTCTTGCCTCACTCAGTAGAGGACCACAGGGAGGGAGGGAGGGAGGAGAAAACCTAGTCAGGTTTTAGAGCTACTTGGTGTACCAAAGTCCTGCACCATATTTCACTCATCATGCCGTTTGACCGGTGATTTTACAGTTATCTATGGATCTGCAAACCTATAATGTCTTCCTCATTTCCCACAAGGAGATTCCATTATTGCCCTACTATGCAGGTCTATATGAAGATATGCATTGGTGAAGCCTAGGTGGTTTGGGTGTTTTTTTTTTCTGACCAGTAAAAATCTGACTTTGAGCTAAACATTTATTCGAAATTAAAAGATGTCATGACATTCTTCTCTGGGATTTCAGAGATTGGGTTTCTTCCTGTAGCTGCCCAGGAAATCATATAAGGGAGATCTCAATGGACAGAGGCATCTGTTTCTGCAACCATAACTACCTTTTAATTTTCTAAGCCAGGGCTTTTCAACCACTGGTATTGGTACCACCTGTTGTACATTGGCACCTGGCAGGTGGTATGCAACCATCCTAGAAAACTGGTAGTAGGGGAGTGGAATGAGCTGAACCAGTGGCAGCACTGCAAAAGCCTGAGCGAGAGATGGCTGGAACTGCACGGCTGTCAGGGCTCAGTGGAAGTGCCAGGATCAGTGCCAGGCTCCAGCTGGAGTTCAGCACTGATCCTAGCGCCTCTGCTGAGGCCAGGAGAAGCACCCATCAACTGGAATGTTGTAGCCTCTCCAGGGTCTTGTGATTTACATTCAGATGCTTGGCAACTGATTCATATTTATGAAGGTCACAGTGTCCCAGGGTCATGTGAAGTAATAATAATAGTAGTAAAGTTGGAAGGGACCTTGGAGGTCATCTAGTCCAACCCCCTGCTCAGGCAGGAAACCCTGCACCATTTTGGACAAATGGCTGTCCAGTCTCTTCTTAAAAACTTCCAGTGTTGGAGCGTTTACTGCTTCTGAAGGCAGGTTGTTCCACTGAGAACAATTAAATTAAGTGACCAAAATCTGCTGCAACCACCCAGCAGATGGGGGGGAATAAAAACCAAACACCCCTCCACCCCACCCCTGCTGCCATTCTCAACAGAAATGCTCACAACAATGAAAACCTCAGACAGGAGGAAGAGGGCCACCAGGTGGACAGGCAGGTGTCTTGCTTGGCTGTACCTTGGGGGGCCCTTTTTTCAGTGCTATTGTAACTTTGAACAGTCACTAAGCGAACTGTTGTATGTCGAGGACTACTTGTAGTTTATCAGTTTTTCCCTGTTTTTTTTTTGGGTCATCATGTTTTTGACACCTTGCTAGGCAACTGGTGATACTCAGATATTGCCCTATCCTAAAAGTGGTACAATGGGTGAAAAGGTTGAAAAGCCCTAGTGTAGCCAACCGAATGCAGCTGCTGTGTTCAGAGAAATGTAACCCCTGGATGAAAATTGTTGAAGAATAGGACGTTGTGTAAATTTGGTAGGAAGGCTTTTCCTTCACTTGCTTCAAATTGGGGTGAAGATTCCCCCTGTGGACTGAGCAGCAAAAAGGGGGGGGGGTTGGACCTCACCACAGATATCCATATGGGGAAGAGGGCAAGAGATCAAATGTGGATGGTGATATCTACTGAGATATGGTGAATTGTGCCATCAAGGATATAATTTCACAATTTGTGCAATAATACCACAGCCTGCATGTCCTTTTATTTACATGATCAGGATGTTTGTGGTCCTTATCTGGCATCCATAATCCAGCATGACTTATTTTCTTCTTCTTGCAGCGTGCTGGTGGTGGAGGAGGAGGTGCTGGACTTCTGAGTATGCTTGGAGTAAGTCAATACGCATCTAACAAAATACACACTATCTAACAAAATGAAATTCAATGGTGAAAAAAGTAAGGTTCTACATTTAGGCAAGAAAAATGAAATGCACAGTTATAGTATAGGGGGTACCTTGCTCAATAGTAGTAACTGTGAGAGGGATCTCGGAATCCTAGTAGACAATCACCTAAATAGGAGCCAGCCGTGTGCTGCAGCTGCCAAAAAAGCCAACAAAGTGCTAGGTTGCATTAACAGAGGGATAGAATCAAGATCACGTGATGTATTACTACCACTCTACAATGCCTTGGTAAGGCCACACTTGGAATACTGCATCCAGCTTTTGTCACCACAATGTAAAAAAGATGTTGAGACTCTAAAAAGAGTACAGAGAAGAGCAACAAAGATGATTAGGGGACAGGAGGCTAAAACATATAAGGAAAAGTTGCTGGAACTGGGTATGTCTAGTTTAAGGAAGAGAAGGACTAGGGGGGACATGATAGCAGTGTTCCAATATCTCAGGGGCTACCCAAAAGAAGAGGGAGCCAAGCTATTCTCCAAAACACCTGAAGGCAGGACAAGAAGCAATGGATGGAAACTAACCAAAGATAGAAGCAACCTAGAACTAAGGAGAAACTTCCTGATAGTTAGAACAATTAACCAGTGGAACAACCTGCCTCCAGAAGCGGTGAATGCTCCAATACTGGAAGTTTTTAAGAAGAGTCTGGACAGCCATTTGTCTGAAATGGTATAGGGTTTCCTGCCTGAGCAGGGGGCTGGACTAGATGACCTCCAAGATCCTTTCCAACTTTATCATTATTATTATTATGGATCATCGCACAGTCAGCCAGATGGATTTGGCATTTTGTCTACCTATCAAGTCTTTACCCAGGACCTGGGATAGGCAGATGTGGATATTTGATGGTATTACAGATATCGTTGCAGGGTGGAAGGAGTTCCTAGTAAGGCCGCCTTTTGCAATTGACTAGCTGTTATTTGTTGCTTTATTATTTCCAGTGCTTCCTTGATCTTCCTTGTTTCTAAGTTGTATTTCCTGATTAGGTATTCTTTGGTCTTCTTGTTCTTCAGCTTCTTTTCTTTCATCTGTTCTAGCTTGCTTACATGTGATCTTAACTTGCTGATCTTATTTTCTAGTCTAACCTTCCATTTTTCTGGTGCACTGTTTGTTTGTTTTTCTTCTTTGTTGATTTTGCATCCCAGGTATTCTGTTATAACTGCATTATTATTATGGATCATCGCACATTCAGCCAGATGTTCAGACTGGATTTGGCATTTTGTCTACCTATCGAGTCCTTACCCAGGACCTGGGATAGGCAGATGTGGATATTTGATGGTATTACAGATATCGTTGCAGGATGGAAGCAGTTCCTAATAAGGCCGCCTTTTGCAATTGACTAGCTGTTATTTGTTGCTTTATTATTTCCAGTGCTTCCTTGTTCTTCCTTGATCTTCCTATCTCAGCAATCAATTTATGTGTCAATACATTCATCCAATATCAGCATAAATTCAATGTCACAGTATATCTCAGTGCATATAGGGAGTTCTCATTTTGTGATGATACGAGATAGGACGGTGGTAGTGATCACATGGATGCTGAAATCTGGGGTATTATCAGAGTAGAACAGTTACCTTTTGTTTCCCTTTTAGAGCTTTCTTGGTGGTGCTGGTGGATTGTTCATAAGTAGCTTTTTTTTTAGATTCTGCCGTTTGTTTCTTTCAAGTTCTTCCTTGGTCTGAACAAGCACCTCTTTGATCCTTCTTCCTCCTAACACCAAAAGTATCTCCAGAGTCAGGAGGGCATAATTACAGGAGCATAAGCTAAAGTTTTTGGTTTTTATTTTTCTTTCAAATTGACCCCTTAACAATAGATGCCACAGCCTAATTGGGGTGAAGATTCCCTCTGTAGACTGAGCAGCAAAGTGGAGGTGTTGGACCTCACCACATATGTCCATGTGGGGAAGAGGGGAAGAGATCAAATGTGGATGGTGATATCTACTGAGATATGGTGAATTGTCCTCAGGAAGTAATTTCACAATTTATGCAATGATACCACAGCTTGCATGTCCTTGAATTTACATGATCAGGATGTCCATGCTCCTTATCTGGCATCCATAATCCAGCATGACTTATTTTTTTCTTCTTGCAGGGTAGTGGTGGTGGTGGAGGAGGTGGACTTATGAATATGCTTGGAGTAAGTCAACACACATCTAATGCCTCTCATTTGCATTACATTTTCTGTTACTTCTGTACAAAACCACAGCCATCCTCTTGAGAGTCAACTCTCTCATCCCCCCCCCCCCGTGCATCTCTTGAAAATCCTGGATTAATTCTACTAGGAATTTGGATATTGTAAGGAATGTTGAAGGGATGAATTTGTAGAGAGCCATGAACCTCACCTTGGAGAAATCAGGCAGAGAGGAATTTTTGCAGAAACAAGTTTTAAGACCTGAAAGCAGAAAAAGCATGAGAGAGAAGCTAAGAGGTATTCTTGCCTCACTCAGTAGAGGACCACAGGGAGGGAGGAAGGGAGGGAGGGAGGGAGGAGAAAACCTAGTCAGGTTTTCTAGCTACTTGGTGTACCAAAGCCCTGCACCATATTTCACTCATCATGCCATTTGACCGGTGAATGTACAGTTATCTATGGATCTGCAAACTTATAATGTCTTCCTCATTTCCCACAAGGGGATTCCATTATTGCCCTACTATGCAGGTCTCTATGAAGATATGCATTAGGGAAGCCTAGGTGGTTTTGGTGGGTTTTTTTTTCTGACCAGTAAAAATCTGACTTTGAGCTAAACATTTATTAGAAATTAAAAGAGGTCATGATATTCTTCTCTGGAATTTCAGAGATTGGGTTTCTTCCTGTAGCTGCACAAGAAATCATGTAAGAGAGATCTCGATGGACAGAGGAATCTGTTTCTGCAACCATAACTACCTTTCAATTTTCTAAGCTACCTGAAGCTGGAGGAGACATAGGAGGGAGGGACTATGTGAAAATGGATTAGAAAGCAGCTCTCCGTTATCAGGATGTCCCAGGAATAATGTGTGTAGAAAGTCCTTGCCGATGGCTGGTTTCTTATTGCCTGTCAAATCCTGTAGCTAAACAAATGCAGCTGCTGTGTTCAGAGAAAAGTAACCCCTGGATGAAAACTGTTGAAGAATAGGACGTTGTGCAAATTTGGTAGGAAGGCTTTTCCTTCACTTGCTTCAATAATTATCATGAACTCATGTTCACCTATGACATGTGATCACATCATATAACATTCCTGAAAGGGCTTTAATCCCAGGTACAGTCAATTGAAGGTCCTCCATCTCAGCAACAAACTTATATGTCAATACATTCATCCAATATCAGCATGAATTCAATGCCACAGTATACCTCAGTGCATACAGGGAGTTCTCGTTTTGTGACGATACGAGATAGGAAGGTGGTAGTGATCACATGGATGTTGAGATCTGGGGTATTATCAGAGTAGAACAGTTACCTTTTGTTTCCTTTTTAGAGCTTTTTTGGTGGTGCTGGTGGATTGTTCATAAGTAGCTTTTTTTTAGATTCTGCCGTTTGTTTCTTTCAAGTTCTTCCTTGGTCTGAACAAGCACCTCTTTGATATTTCTTCCTCCTAACACCAAAAATATCTCCAGAGTCACAAGGGCATAATTACAGGAGCATGCGCTAAAGTTTTTGGTTTTTATTTTTCTTTCAAATAACTGACCCCTTAATAATAGATGCCACAGCCAAATTGGGGTGAAGATTCCCTCTGTGGACTGAGCAGCAAAGTGGAGGGGTTGGACCTCACCACACATGTCCATGTGGGGAAGAGGGCAAGAGATCAATTGTGGATGGTGATATCTACCGAGATATGGTGAAATGTATCCTCAAGGAAGTAATTTCACAATTTATGCAATGATACCACAGCTTGCATGTCCTTGTATTTACACGATCAGGATGTCCATGCTCCTTATCTGGCATCCATAATCCAGCATGACTTATTTTTTTCTTCTTGCAGGGTGGTGGTGGTGGTGGAGGAGGTGGACTTATGAATATGCTTGGAGTAAGTCGCATCTCATGCCTCTCATTTGCATTAAATATTCTGTTATTTCTTGTGTACAAAACCACAGCCATCCTCTTGAGATTCAACTCTCTCGCCCCCGCCCCCCCCCCGCATCTCCTGAAAATCCTGGATCAATTCTAATAGGCATTTGGATATTGTAAGGAATGTTGAAGGGATGAATTTGTAGAGAGCCATGAACCTGACCTTGGAGAAATCAGGCAGAGAGGAATTTTTGCAAAAACAGTTTTTAAGACCTGAAAGCAGAAAAAGTATGATAGAGAAGGTAAGAGGTATTCTTGCCTCATTCAGTAGATGATCACAGGGAGGGAGGGAGGACAAAACCTAGTTAGGTTTTCTAGCTACTTGGTGTACCAAAGCCCTGCACCATGCACCCTGCATTTAATGCCTCTCATTTGCATTACATTTTCTGTTATTTCTTGTGTACACAACCACAGCCATCTTCTTGAAATGCAACACTCCCCAAGTGGTGGGATTCAGATATGTGGACAACCAGTTCTCTGTGTGGATGCCACTTCCGGAAGTCCTTTCTGGGCCCAGGCAACAAAAAAATAGCTACCAATTCTGCTGAACTGGTGCGAACTGGCTGAATCCCACCACTGCCCCCCCAAAGCTTCTCTTGAAAGTAAGGAATGTTGAAAGGATGAATTTATAGCGAGGAAAAAAACCCTCTCAAAACAGCTTAATACACATGCATCTGTTTGGTCCCCAATGTTGTATTAAAGAACACAAGTTAGTTAACAGGAGAATGAAGAAAGTCAAATACGAGATGTGAAGATGGTAGTGATCATATGGATCACCCAATACCAAAACCAAATCCAGAATCCCCAAGGCATAATCATAGTGGGCAGAACCAAAATACCTGGCCTATTTTTAACTCTCTTTCCAATAATTGACCCATTTTCATACATCGTACCCTTTGTAATCATATCTTCTGTGCATTTCATGTTTTTTTTTAATAATTCAGGAAGTTCTTGATATGGGTTGCAGAGCATTGATGACACATGGATATAATTAGAAGTTCCCATTTCTGCTTATGCCACTGCATTTTGGACCACCCCATTTTATTTGATTAAACTATAGTAGAGGACCTTTTGGGGATTATATAGAGGCTCAGGTTCACACACATGTCAAAAACATGAACTGCGACAACCTAGCTTCAAAAGCATCCATAATCCAGGATGATCTTGTTTTCTCCTGCTTGCAGAATGGTCAACCAGGTGGTGCACTTTTTAGTATGCTTGCAGGAAGTCTACATGGATTTAATGTCTCTCATTTCCTTTATGTAACCACAGCCATTCTTTGGAGGCTCAACCCCAAAAAGGTGCAAAAGGTGATCACATGACCCTCAGGACACAGCAACGGTCATAAGTATGAACCCAGTTGCCAAGCATCTGAATTTTGATCACATGACCATGGGGATGCCACAAAGGTCCTAAGTGTGAAAAATGATCGTGTCAGTTTTTTCAGTGCCACTGTAAATTTGGACGGCCACTCTATGAACTGTTATAAGCATTCAAGTATTCAAGACCTGGGGTGACCAGGTACTTAGTGACTGTCTAAAGGAGATTGTGGTTGAGGAAAAGGCACAGTTGGTGAACAAAATGAATCTGTGCCACAACTGTCACCTGAAACACATGATATTATTTACATGTCACTTTGGGGGACTTGTCAGTCTATGTTGTCAAAAGAAAGGGAAATGAAAGATACATATGACATTTGTATACAATATTGAAGATGGCAGTGACTGTATAATTATAGTTAGTGATAATTACCATATATGGTACTGATTGGAACTGATTCCTTCTGTTTCTCCTTTAGAATAGATTGTCAGGTACTGTCAGTGGTGAATTTTTGGAAAGCAGCAGCAACCTTAGATAATAGACTTGCCCTAAAGCTTCCTTGATGTTGGATATTTCTAACGTTTGGCATGGCTCAGGGGTAGGCAACCTTGGCTCTTTTATAACTAGTGGACTTCAACTCCCAGAATTCCTGAGCCAGCCATGCTGAGGGGAAAAGGAGAGGTTTCCAAGCTGAGCCATGCTGGCTCAGGAATTCTGGGAGTTGAAGTCCACAAGTCATAAAAGAGCCAAGGTTGCCTACCCCTGGCATAGCTTAACTGATTTTGGCTATGTCATGTTTTCCTCATCTTTTATTCTCTTATTGTACTCTTTTTTAATGTTGTTCATTTCATTGTTGGGGTTGGGTGATGTCTAAACTGAATAAATTAAATTAAAATACAATACAATAATACCCTTTGCAAATTTTAAATATTCCCATTTTGATTTCTATAAACTGCAGTGGCTCAAGCATGTCCAACTCACAAACTAAAAACATGACAAAATACTTATACGGGTATCTATAATCCAGTTTGACTTTTTTTTTTTTTTTTTGCTCTCTTGTAGAGAGGGGGTGCTGACAACAGAAGTGGCAAACGGTCAAGTAAACAAGGGGTAAGTTAATATGCATTTAATGTCTCCCATTTCCATGAAGTCTTTTCTGTTTCTGTTTTCTAGGAAAAAATTCCAGTAAAAATTTCAAAAACCTTAGGGATGCTTAAACCAGAGGTCTTCAAACTTGGCCCTTTTATGACTTGTGCAACTCCCAGAATTCCGCAGTCAGGCATGCTGGCTGAGGAATTCTGGGAGTTGAAGCCCACAAGTCATAAAAGAAGTGGTGGGATTCAAATATGTGAACAACCAGTTCTCTGTGTTGATGCTGCTTCCGGAAGTCCATTCTGGGCCTGGGCAACAAAAAATTAGTCGCCGAAGTGGTGCGATCTGGCTGAATCCCACCACTGCATAAAAGGGGCAAGTTTGAAGAGCCTTGGCTTAAAGGATGAATTTGTTGAGAATCATGGAGGCAACCTTGAAGCAGAGAGGGGAAAAGGTTTTAAGTCCTGGAAACAGAAAGCAGGAGAGAGAAGCTAAGATTTTTACTGCATCCACTAGAGTTTCACAGAGATGGAGTGGAAAACCCAGTCAGGTTTTCAAGCTCTTTGGAGAATACCAAATATTGTAGCTCATTTTCCCCCATCCTGCTATTGGCTCTGTGAATTTCCCCCGTGGATCTCCAGATTTCTCTGTTTCCCTCAGAGGAATTCCATTATTAACACAGCATGATTTCAATATGAAGACTTGCATTAGGACAGACGACGTCCTATGTCACTTCTGGGTCCTGAATTTGAGTAGAAATTTGTAAAAACAACAAGCAGAGGAAGACATAAGACTCTTCTCTGGTATTTCAAAGATCAGTTTGCTTTCGATAATTGCACAGAAAATCATGTAAAGGAGTTCTTGATGGACAGAGAAATGTACTGTATATCTGCAACCCTAACCCTTTCCATTTTCTAACTTACTTTGAGTAGAAGGAGGTAGAATTTGAGGAGGCATGGGAGAGAGGCACAAGAAGAAAGTGAATTGGAAAACAGCTTTCCATAATAAGGATGTCTAAGCTATCCTTTACTGACTGCTGTGTTCTCGTTGCTTGCTAAATCATGTAACCAACCAAATGAAGATTTTGTCTTCAGGGAAATATGCCCCGTAATTCATTTTGGAAAGATAGGAGGAATGGTTTTTCTGAATTCGTTCAAGGGACATTTTTGCCTAAAGAAGGAGCCAATGCATAGCCTTTCTCTACTGATTACTATTCTTAATAGTCAACACCAATGTCCATGGCTCAAAAGATCTTCCCATCAGATTCGATTTTGTATGCAATGGCTTTCTAATGCGATGGATTTGAAACTTCCTTTTCAAGACTTTATTTCACTCGATCATTTTGTCCAACCTAAAGAAAGCATTTTTTAAATTGATCTGAAATATTTAGTAAAGAAAATAGTAATCTAGACATGCTATAGAGCAATGCAACACAATTATTCTGGCTATTAGTCTAACCATATTTTGACATTTTCCATAATGTATTAAATGGTAAGAAGTCAAATAGCTCACATTCACACAAAATAGTAATCCAAAAAAGAAACCCACCCAATATAAAACTATCCTGGTTTAATGTTAATGTATCAATATAGCTTGTAGGCTTGTCCTTGACTTGGTTTGATAATTAACATGCACCCACATTCATATATGAAATACAATAACATTGTGCAAGGTTCCTGTTAAAAGTCCTATTAAAAGTCCTCTGTTCTCAACAGCTAACTTACTTGTTAATTTATAAATCTAATAGAAGCAAAAAATCAAAATTCAGTATGTCAATATTCTGCATGGATATTTTGACTGTGTGAATGTTTGGTTTCCAGACATTTTGTTACCAGGCTAGGTAACATCTTCAGCAGTGCTTAGTGGATGTCTGTGGCAGCGATCTATTTATATAAGGGCATCAGGAGTGGGAGTGTCAAGTGAGGGTCTTGTGATGGACTAGGTGTGAGTCAACTTCCAATGACCCTAACCTGATAGAGCCGAGGTGGCGCAGCAGTTAGAGTGCAGTACTGCAGGCCACTTTAGCTGACTCTGTTCAGCAGATCAGCGGTTCAAATTTCACCGGCTCAAGGTTGACTCAGCCTTCCATCCTTCCGAGGTAGGTAAAATGAGGACCCAGATTGTTGGGGGAAATGTAAATATATATACATTGCTTAGTGGTGTACATCGCTTAGAGAGTGCTTGCATTTAAAGCGGTATATAAGTCCCATAAATAAATAAATAAATAAATAGAGCGTGCTTGCACTTAAAGCGGTATATAAGTCTCATAAATAAATAAATAAATAAATAAATAAATAAATATAATCTCCCCATCACAAGACCCATTACCAGCCTCTGACTGATGACTCACTCCTGACCCACTGATAATTCACACCCTCAAATAACCCTCACCTGAAGTACCTCCCCATCACAAGCCTCTATCTGATGACTCCCACCTGGCCCATCACAAGACCCTCACTTGACACTAGCCCAGTGGTAGGATTCAGCCGGTTTGCATCGGTTCGGTAGAACCGGTAGCTACATTTTGTTGAGTTCAGAGAACCGGCTGAACCCATGCTGATTCTGGAAGCCCATTCTAGGCCTCGGAGGCCTGTAGGAGGTCTCCCAGGCTAGAACAGCCCACCGGAAGTGCGTGGATGTCACTTCCAGAAGTCTATTCTAGGCCTGGTGGAGGTCTCCCAGGCCTAGAACAGGGCACAGATGTCACTTCTGGAAGTCTGTTCTAGGCCTCAGAGGCCTGGAGGAGGCCTCCCAGGCCTAGAACAGCCCATAGGAAATGCAGAGATGTCATTTCTGGAAGTCCATTGTAGGTCTTGGGGGCCCAGGCCTGCATCCACACAGAGAATCGGATGTTCAGGTATTTGAATCCACCATTGCACTAGTCTAGTAACAAAGTGTTGGGAAACCAACCCTTAAGCTTGGAGAACAAACTTTCACCCTCACAGCTGCTTTGTCCAGAGAAAAATGGTCTCTGGCACAATTCCACTTCATTTTGTGATAAGTGTGAGGAAGGTCTTTTCAGAACCCCCTGAGTGAACTTTATTGCCTAGAAGAGGGGCCAATTCACAGCTTTTCTCCTACTGGTTATTTCTCTCTTAAATAGTCATGACTGATCTACATTATGCAAATATGCATCTTTTTAGCTCCTTTCACTCCATTTTCTGTAAAATAACACATATTTCTCCCTGATGTCTGTGTTTTTTTTCCCCTAGAGGTTGGCATGGCTTTAACTGCTTTGGTCATGTCTCACGTTTCACATATTTTACTCTCTTGTAAATATTGTACAATGTTTTATGTTGTTGGTTTCATTGTTGGAGTTAGCTGGTAACATAATTAATCAAATCAGATCAAATCAAATTAATACCCTCCGTGGGCCTGAAAGAACCTCATTTCACCTGAATGAACTGCAGAGACCAGGTATGACCCATAGAAGCAGTAATTGTCACAACAGAATTTCAAAAACATCTATAATCCAGGATGTCTTTTTTCTTCTTCTTGAAGAATTCAAGGAACAGAAAGCAAGGTAGAAGGCCAAATAGACCGAGGGTAAGTCGATATGTATTTAATGTCTTTCATTTCCTTATCTTCTCTGATATTCTCTGTGTACATAAACACAGCTACCCTTTTAACACTTCCCATAAGCATCTTCTCATATTCCAGGAGCAATTCCTATAGGATCTTCAATATTGTGAGCAAGGTGTATAAGATGGGTTTGTAGAGAGACATAACCTTGGAGAAGTTAGCCATTGAGGATGGTTGGAAAATCATGTTTTAAACATTGGAAACAGAGGGCTTGGAAAAAAAAGTAAGAGTGACCCCCCCCCCCACATTGATTAGATGATCACAGAGAGGGAGGAGTAAACCCAATCAGGTTTTCAAGCTATTCAGCATATCAATGCTTGCAACTCATTTTTTGACATCATCCCATTTCAGTTTGAATATTTCTTGTGACTCTCCAAAATAATATTTTTTCTTGAATTCCACAATTGCCATAGTATGATGTCTATATGAGGATATGCATTAGGACATAAGATGGCCTAGGTCCCTTTGGAGTCTTTTTCTTATTACTACAGATCTGAAATTGAGATGAAAATCTACTAGAAATTAGATGAGATTCTTCTCTGGGATTCAGAGACCAGCTTGTTAAATACCTCCATGGAAAATCATGTTTGGAAAATGCTGATGGACAGATAAATCTGTATATACAACCATTATTACCGTACTTTAAAATAAAAGTCTATCTTGCAAACTTAGTTTATCACCATGTTACACAGTACACACAACACAGCTACTCTGGCTATTAATCTAACCACATTTCTGCAGTTTCCATAATATATTGAATAGCAAGCACATCAAATAGCTCACACTCACACAAGGTGATGATCCATAGAACAATTAAAAAAAACCCAGGGAAAATGAAAAATATTCAGATTTGGGGGGTTGTGTGAAACCTATGGGCAAGCTTTTCCTTGACTTAGTTAGATAATATGTCCCCAAGTCCAAATTTGATCACATTGTGGATGATTCATGGAAGACTTTAATACCAAGAACTATGTATATTAATCAACTCAGTAACCAACTCATGCCTTAGTCTATAAATTTAATACAAGCAAAATTCAGTGCAAGCATATTTCTATGTGGATTGTGTGAATGTGAAAGAATACTAAAATGAAGAAAGAAAAAGTCTCTTAGAACACTTTACCACAGGTGAATCATTTTTGATTCTTTCATTTCATGTTGTGTTAAACAACCCATATTTTTTGTCTGGAGAATGACGGAATTCATATTCAAGACATCAAAGATCGTAATGATGGCATAATTGGAGAATTCATGGGGGATAACATATCAAATTACTGTGTCCCAGAACTGTGACACTATTTCTTAATCTGGACCCTGAAGGAACGGATATATGAGATACAAATAATTGTAGTGATGGCTTAGTAACAGAAGTCAAGGATGGTATCATATCAGATTAAAAATTTGTATTCCCCTTTTAGGGTATGCATGGCACTGCTAGAGGTTATTATATCAGAATAAAACAATTATCTTTTGCTTCTGTTTTAGTATATGAATAATGGTGCTGGAAATGGAAATATGGCAAGTTGCTTTTATTAATTTTCTGCCATTCTCTTCTTCATATCTGTCACCCATCTAAACAAATGCCTCCCTTATCCTGCTTCACCAAAAGAAGCTCCAGAGTACCCAGAGTATAATCATAGAAGGTAGGGCCAAAATATTTGGCCCATTTTTATCCTCATTTACAATAACTGATCTCTTAAACAAATAATTCCAGCAGGCAAGGTGGAGGAATATCCCCCTTGTGGACTAAAGAGCTGCCTGGGAATCAATGTAGAGGACATCTTTATGGACAGACAATCTGTATATACAAACATGACCATCTTTTCATTTTGTAACTTACCTGGAATAGAAGATGGTGGAGGAGGTAGAAGTGGGAAAAGAGAGAGTCTAGTGAAGCTGAATTGGATAGCAGCTTTCCATGACCAGGTATAATACCCAAAGGAAGTCCTTACTACTGGGTTGTCATTTTTTTTTCTCTAGTTGTCACTTTTCTCAATGTTCATTAGTGATCTACAAGATCAGTGCTTTTTTTGTAAAGAAAGAAAAAAGGTGCTGGAACTCACACACGTCATACAACCCGCCTTGCCTAACCTACAAGGTTCCATCCAAAAAAGGTGCCTACTTGGAATCAAGCCATGCAAGTGGTGAGCCGGGGCATGTGTGCAGCTCCACTCACGTGGATCTTTAATCCTTAGAGCTATGTTTATTAGTCAACCCAGTAATCAACTCATGCCTTGAACTATAATTCTAATACCAAATTAAAATGGTTACATTTTGTTTCCCTTGTAGGGCACGTATGGAGGTGATAGACATGGAAGTATGGTTAGTAGCTTTTGTTTATTATTTGCTATTTTGTTTTGTCTCCATTGTTGGTTTCAATCCCTAATGGTCACAGCTTGTTTATAGCAGGGGTTCCCAATCCCTGGTCCGTGGCCCAATAATGGGCTGTGGCCTACTTGGAACCAAGCCATGCAAGTGGTGGGCCAGGGCATGTGATCATCTCCACTCACATGGATCTTTAATCCTTAGAGCTATGTTTATTAGTCAACTCATGTTGACTAATAAACTAATCAACTATGTTTATTAGTCAACTCATGCCTTAAACTACAATTCTAATACAAGCAAAAATTCAATTCAAGCATATTTTGGTGTGGATGTTTTGATTGTGTGAATGTGGAAGAATACTGAAATTAGGAAAAGAAAAAGTCTCTCAGAATGGTTTACCACAAGTGTCATTTTGGATTCTTTCATTGCATGTTGTGTTAAAAAACCCATATTTTTTATCTGGAGAATGGCGGAATTCATGTACAAGATGCCAAAGATCGTAATGATGGCATAATTGGAGAATTCATGGGGGATAGCATATCAAATTAAAATGGTTACATTTTGTTTCCCTTGTAGGGCACGTATGGAGGTGGTAGACATGGAAGTATGGTTAGTAGCTTTTGTTTATTATTTGCTATTCTGTTGGAAGAAAAGTCTTCATCATGGTTCAGTCCAAGCTGGGGATAAACAACATGGCGACTGCTTTAGAAAGAAGGTTGTAGTTTATTGAAGAGGAGAACCAGACAGAAAGATGGCTCTGGCAGAAAAGAGAGAGAGAGAGAAAAGGGGCTGAGCACATGTGGGGAGTGGGTTTTTATACCCTCTGGAGCCTTTTGTTTGGATTTGCTTCCTGTGCGTGAACTTTGACCTGAATCTGAGTGTGCCCTTTGGTATCTCTGTGTGAATCCTATTATGTCCTGTCTTAGAGTTTGGGTGGGGTATGTAGATTTTAGGTGTCTTTGTCATCTTGATCTTCTAGCTGGGGCCTCCATCTGCATTTCTACAGAGCTGGTTTCTGCTTGGGGGAGGGAGACCTGGGGCTATCAAGAAAAACTGGGCATGCCTTTCTGCCTCCTTAAGATCCTTTGAGGAAATATATTTTCCTGCCCTTTTAATAGTTCCTTCTCTGGGGGGCTGACTTCCCACATAGCTTTGCAGGATGAGAATGTTCCAGTTATACTAGGCAAAGTAAGTCTTTACTCACTATGGTTTCTCATAGCTTGCTAAATCCTGTAGCCAAACAAATGCAGCTGCTTTGTTAAGAGATGAGGTCCATAAAGCAATCCCATTTCCAATAACTGACCCCTTTAAAATAGATCCAACAGTCAGGTTGAGTTACTATTTCCCTGTGTACAGAGCAGTTCTATGTTGAGCAGATCTAGATGGACCGGCAAATCTGTATATAGAGCTCTGACTATCATTTCATTTTCCAACTTGGAGTAGAAGGAGGCGGAAGAGATTGAGGTGGCAGAAGATCAAGCCTCTAGTGAAGCTTACCATTATGAAGATGTCCCAAATATAAAACACAAAGGATGCCCTTACTCACTGCTGGGTTCTCATTGTTTCCTTACTCGTGTACCCAACCAAAAGCAACTGCTTTGTTCAGACAAAAGTGGGCCCTAACACAAACTGGCATAATTTTTTAGTAAGCATGAGGAAAATCTTTTTTGAATCCTCTCAAGTAATCCTTTATATATAGATGTCTGGCAAATACACAATTTTGTCTCTATTGTTGGTTTCAATTCCTAATGGTCACAGCTGGTTTATAGCAGGGGTTCCCAATCCCTGGTCCGTGGCCCAATAATGGGCTGTGGCCTACTTGGAACCAAGCCATGCAAGTGGTGGGCCGGGGCATGTGTGCATCTCCACTCACATGGATCTTTAATCCTTAGAGCTATGTTTATTAGTCAACCCAGTAATCAACTCATGCCTTAAACTACAATTCTAATACAAGCAAAAATTCAATTCAAGCATATTTTGGTGTGGATGTTTTGACTGTGTGAATGTGGAAGAATACTGAAATTAGGAAAAGAAAAAGTCTCTCAGAACGGTTTACCACAGGTGTGTCATTTTGGATTCTTTCATGTTGTGTTAAAAGACCCATATTTTTTTTATCTGGAGAATGGCGGAATTCATGTACAAGACACCAAAGATCATAATGATGGCATAATTGGAGAATTCATGGGGGATAACATATCAAATTAAAATGGTTACATTTTGTTTCCTTTGTAGGGCACGTATGGAGGTGATAGACATGGAAGCATGGTTAGTAGCTTTTGTTTATTACTTGCTATTCCTTTCTTCATATTCTTTTTCCAGCTGAACCTGCACCCCTTCTATCCTTATTCCTCACACGTTAAAGCATCTCCAGATTCCCAGAGAATAACTACAACAAATAGCGCCAAAGTCATGGGTCTTATTAGAGTAGAACAATTACATTTTGTTTCCCTTTTAGGGCATGCAAGGAGGTGGAATGACAGTAAATAACTTTTGTTTATTTTCTGCCATTGTTTTTTTTTCATATTTTTCTTTCATCTGAAAAAGTCCTTCTCATATCTTTTTCTCTCCTTCATGAAACACGTCTCAAGGGTGCCTGGAGAAAAATCACAGAAGGCAGAGCCAAAACATTTGGCCTATGTGGGACACTAAAGATGTTAGTGATAGCATAGTTGGAAAAAATCATGGGTGACATTATAGAAGAATAAAATAGTTATCTTTTGTTTCCCTTTTAGGGCATGCCCAGTGGTGGAATGGCGATAAGTAGCTTTTATTTATTCTCTGCCATTCCTTTCTTCACATTCTTCTCCCCTGTGAAGAAGTACTTCTATACATTTCTCCCCTTCACCAAAAGCATCTCAACAGTGCCCAGAGAATAATCACAAAATATTTGGTCTGTTTCTACCTTCCTTTCCAATATCTGACAATTGAAAATAGATCCCTCAGCCAAGTGGGGGTGGAGACTCCCTGAAAAATTGCATGAGAAAGATGGTCCTGGTTGTACATATCAGTTTGTCTCTTCATCAAGATCTCCTCTGCTGAGGAGATGCAGAGGAGATCTTGATGAAGAGACAAACTGATATCTACAACCATGACCATCTTTTCATTTCCTAACTTACCTGGAATAGAAGGAAGTGGTGGATATGGAGGTGGCATAAGAGAGAGGCTGTAGTAAAGCTGAAATGGGAAATACCTTTCCAGGTTGAGGATATATACTAGTCAAAGGAAGTCTCCTGGTTTCTCATTGCCTGCTAAACTCTTTAGCCAGCCAAATGTAGCTGTCTTGTTCAGAGAAAAGAGACCCATAAAGCAACCCAACTTGATTTTGTGTTATGTGCATGGAAGACCTTTTTCGAATCTTCTCAAAGTATTATTATTTTTTCATGCCCGAGAGGACAATGCACAACTTTTTCTCTAGTGGTTTCTTTCTTTATGGCATGGTTGATCAACACAATGAATATATGTATCTTTTTTGATCCTTTCACTCCATGTTATGTGAAATTAGGTTTTTTTTTTTTTAATCTGGACACTGAATGAATTCATTTTCGAAATATGGAAGGTGATAGTGATGGCACAGCTGAAGAAGACATGGGTGTTATCATATTCAGTTAGAACGGTTCCCGTTTGTTTCCCTTTTAGGGCAACTCTGAAGATGGAATGGTGGCAAATAGCTTTGATTTATTTTTGGCCATCCCTTTCTTCATACTCTTCTTCCACCTAAACAAGCATTCATTTGATTGTTGTGCTTACTTCAATTCTCCATAGTATAATCTCAGCAGGAAAGGCCAAAACGTTTGGCCCACTTTTACCTTCCTTTCCTTCTGAATTATACGAAGTAAGTGGAAGTAGAGGTCAGATGAAAGAAATGGTCTAGTGAAGATGAATTGGAAAGCATCTCTCCATGATGAAGATGTCCAAGGTATAATGTGTAAAAGAAATCTTCACTCACTCTTCAGTTCTCTTAGCTTGCTAAATCTTTTACCCAATCAAATACAGTTTCTGTGTTCAGGAAAAAAGCGGCCCCCTAACAATCCAACTTCATTTTTTGGTAAACGTGAGGAAAGCCTTTTCTGAATCCTCTCAAGCCACCATTTTCTCACAGATGAGTGGCAAATGCATTTATTTTTCTCTCTACTGGCGTTGACTGATCTACAGGATTGAAATGTTCTTCCTAACACTTAATTTTGCTTTTAAGATGGATTTCCTTTTCTGGCAATTTATTGCAACTGTAAATTTTGTGGAATTCAGAAAGCAATATTTTTTTCAATAGGTATTTAATAAGGTAAAAAATCATGGTAACCTAGTCTACTATGTAGTGTTAGAAAGCATATGTAACAAAGCTTTTCTGGCTGTTAGCCTAACCATCTTTCTGTAGGTTTTGTAATATATTAAATGGTAAGCAGACAGCACACGTTCAAATAGTATTAATAATAGTAGTAAAGTTGGAAGAGACCTTGGAAGTCATCTAGTCCAACCCCCTGCTCAGGCAGGAAACCCTACACCATTTCGGACAAATGGCTGTCCAGTCTCTTCTTAAAAACTTCCAGTGTTGGAGCATTTACTGCTTCTGGAGGCAGGCTGTTCCACTGATTAATTGTCCTCACTTTCAGGAAATTTCTCCTTAGTTCTAGGTTGCTTCTCTCCTTGATTAATTTCCACCCGTTGCTTCTTGTCCTGCCTTCAGGTGCTTTGGAAAATAGCTTAATTCCCTCTTCTTTATGGCAGCCCCTGAGATATTGGAATACTGCTATCATGTCCCCCCTTGTCCTTCTCTTCGTTAAACTAGACATACCCAATTCTAGCAACCGTTCCTTATATGTTTTAGCCTCCAGTCCCCTAATCATCTTTCTTGCTCTTCTCTGTACTCTTTCTAGAGTCTCAACATCTTTGGCATACTTCTCCATAGGACAATTTACAAAAGAAGAATAAGGAAAATGTACACTATGCACATTTAGGGTGTTGTGTCAAAAAAGCGGGTAGGCTTGTCCTTGACCTGGTTAGACAGCTAACATGATCACAGGTTCATATGTAAGATGTGATTACATTCTGGAAGTTTTCTGGAAGAGCTTTAAACTGAACAATTATGCCTATTAAAGATTCTATTTTCTTGACAACCAACTTCTCTGTTAGTCTATAAATCTAATACAAACAAAAATTCAATGCAAACATGTTTCTGTGTTGATATTTTCATTATGTGAATGTGAAAGAATATTGAAAAGAGGAAGGAAAATATCTCTCAGAGCAGTTTAACATATCTCTGCCTTTTTGTCTGCTTTCACTCATTTGTTTCCCGTTTAGGGCACACAGGGGCAGGGAGGTGGAATGATGGTAAGTAGCTTTTATTTATTTTTGGCCATACCTTTCTTCATATTCTTCTTCAACCTAAACAAGTACCCCACTTTGTTGTTGTGCTTACTTCAATTCTCCAGGATAATCTCAGCAAGAATTGATATTTTCATTGTGTGAATGTGTAAGAATAGTGAAAAGAGGAAAGAAAATATCTCTCAGAGCAGTTTAACATATCTTTGCATTTTTCGCTGCTTTCACTCTGGGTTGTGTGAAAGTACATATATTTTTTATCTGTAGAATAAAGGAATTCCTATAGGAGACACCAAAGATTGTGATGATGGCGTAGTTGAAGAAGTCAAGGTGTAATTATATCAGAGTTGAACATATACCTCTTGTTCCCCTTTTAGCCCATGCCCGGAGGTGGAATGACAGTAAGTAGCTTCTATTTATTTGCTGCCGTTCCTTTCTTTCATATTCTTCTTCCATCTGAAGAAGTGTCTCTTATATCCTTTCCCCTCCTTCAACAAAAGCATCTCAAGAGTGTCAGGAGAATAATCACAGTAGGCGGAGCAAAAACACTTGGCTTGCTTGTACCTCCCTTTCCAATATATGGCAATTAAAAATAAATCCCTCATGCAAGTGGTGTGTGTGTGTGTGTGTGTGTGTGTGTGTGTGTGTGTGTGTGTGCATGAGTGTGTGTGTGTGTGTGTGTGTGTGTGAGAGAGAGAGAGAGAGAGAGAGAGAGAGAGAGAGAGAAGGCTCCCTCTGTAGACCGAGCAGCTGCATGAGACAACATGTAGAGGAGATAATAATAATAATAATAATAATAATAGTAGTAGTAGTAGTAGTAGTAGTAGTAGTAGTAGTAGTAGTAATAATAATAATAATAATAATAATAATAATAATAATAAAGTTGGAAGGGACCTTGGAGGTCATCTAGTCCAACCCCCTGCTCAGGCAGGAAACCCTATACCATTTTGGACAAATGGCTGTCCAGTCTCTTCTTAAAAACTTCCAGTGTTGGAGCATTCACCGCTTCTGGAGGCAGGTTGTTCCACTGGTTAATTGTTCTGTCAGGAAGTTTCTCCTTAGTTCTAGGTTGCTTCTCTCCTTGGTTAGTTTCCATCTGTTGCTTCTTGTCCTGCCTTCTGGCACTTTGGAGAATAGCTTGACTCCCTCTTCTTTGGGGCAGCCCCTGAGATATTGGAACACTGCTATCATGTCTCCCCTTGTCCTTCTCTTCATCAGACTAGACATACCCAATTCCAGCAGCCATTCCTTATATGCTTTAGCCTCCAGTCCCCTAATCATCTTTCTTGCTCTTCTCTGTACTCTTTCTAGAGTCTCAACATCTTTTTTACATCTTGATGGAGAGACAAACTAGTATATACAATTTTGTTGTATGTGCTCGGAAAGCTTTTTCTGAACCCTCTTAAGTGATCTTTTTTACACAGAGGAGGGGACAATGCACAGTTTTTCTCTATGGTTGTTTTTCTCCTGAAAGATCATGACTTATGTACACGTGTGTCTTTTGGGTCCTTTCACTCCATATTTCTGAAATTAGACATCGTTTTTAATCTGGAACTGAAGGAATTTATATACAAGATATGGAAGATGGTAGTGATGGCTTAATCGGAGAAGCCGTGGTTGTTCTCATATCAGAGTAGAAGGGTTAATGTTTGCTTTCCTTTTAGGGCATGCATGGCGGTGGTGGAAGCGGAACATGGGTAAGTAGCTTCTATTTATTTGCTGCCGTTCCTTTCTTCATATTCTTCTTCCATCTGAAGAAGTGTCTCTTATATCCTTTCCCCTCTTTCAACAAAAGCATTTCAAGAGTGCCAGGGGAATAATCACAGCAGGAGGGGAGAGAGAGAGAGAAAAAGAGAGGGGGGGCAGAGGAAAGAGAGAGGGGGGGAGAGGGAGGGGGGAGGAAAGAGAGAGAGAGAGGGACAGGGAGAGAGATACTAAGGCTGTCCCAGATATACCAGGCAAAAGAAATCTCTTCTCTCTGTTGGATTCACATTGCTTGCTAAATCCTTTAGCCAGACAAATGCAGCTGTCTTGTTCAGAGAAAAGAGAGCCATAAAGCCATCCCAATTCATTTTGTGCTATGAACTCAGAAAACCTTTTCTGAATCATCTCAAGGAATTCTTCTTTCTGCAGCAAGGAGCAAAGCATAGCTCTTTCTCTAGTGGAACTTTCTTCCTTTATGGCATGGCTGAACAACAGAATGAATATATGCGTCTTCTTAGCTCCTTTCACTCCACATTATGTGAAATGAGATGTATTTCTTTTTAATCACGACACTGCATGAATTCATAGACAAGATATGGAAGGTGGCATTGAAGGCCTGATTGGACAAGACACGGTCGGACAAGACGTGGGTGTTATTATATCCATTTGGAACGGTTCCCATTTGTTTCCCTTTTAGGGCACGCAGGGGAACGGACGTGGAGGGATGGTAAGTAGCTTTTATTTATTTTCGGCCATCCCTTTCTTCATATTCTTCTTCCAGCTAAACAAGTACCCCGCTTTGTTGTTGTGCTTACTTCAATTCTCAGAAGGTAATCTCAGCAGGAATTGATATTTTCATTGTCTGAATGTGCAAGGTTGTATTAAAGTACATTTATGTTTTATCTGTAGAATAAAGGAATTCATATAGAGACACCAAAGATTGTACTGATGGCGTAGTTGAAGAAGTCAGGGGTGTTATTATATCAGAGCTGAACACTTACCTTTTGTTCCCCTTTTAGACCATGCCAGGAGGTGGAATGACGATAAGTTGCCTCCCATGATCAGAATGTCCCGTGTATAATAGGCAAAGCAAGCCCTTACTCACTACTGGGTTCTTGTTGGTTGCTAAACCTTATACCCAATGAAATAGTTTGGCTTTATTCATAGAAATATAGCCCTAACACAATCTGACTTCCTTTGTTTCTAAGTGTGAGGAAGACCTCTTCTGAATCCCCAAAGGCAGGGGTCCTCAACCTTGGCAACTTTAAGACTTGGGACTTCGAGTCCCAGAATTCTCAGCAAAGCTGGCTGAGAGACCCCTGCCCCAAGGGACCCTTATACCTAAAAGAAGGTCCAATGCACAGTTTTGTTCCAATTGGTGGTTTTTCTCCTTAATGCTCATGACTCATCTCCATGATCTAAATGTTCTTCCCATCCAAAACAGTTTTGCTTGTAAAATGGATTTCCTCACTTCCTTTTTCAGAGTTTATTTCGCCTAGAAATTTTGCACAATCCAGAAAGGCTGGTTTTTCAAGACAGCCAAAATATTTAATAAAATAAATGTCTATCTTTGTAACCTAGTGAGTTATTTCACGTTACAGAACACATAAAACACAATTATTCTGGCTATTAGTCTAACTGTCTTTCTGCAAGTTCCTTAATATATTAAACGCTAAGCAGAAGAAGTAGCTCACATTCACACAAGTTAACAACCCATGGAATAACAATAATGACCTATTCACATTTAGGGTGTTGTGTCAAAGCAGCGGGTAATCTTGTCCTTGACTTGATTAGATAACTGATGTTTACACAAGTTCATATATTCAAAGTAATCACATTGTGCAAGGTTCCTGGGAAAACTTTAATACCAAAATCTATGTATATTAATTGTCCTGTTTTTTCAGTAATCAATTTAAGTACTAATCTATAAATCTAAAAAAAAAGTACACATACAACTTTTTGGGCCCTTTCACTCCATGTTGTGTCAAACAACGCATAATATTTTGCCTGAAGGAATTCATATATGAGACACTAATGATGGTATGATGGCATGTTTGGAGAAGTCATAGCGTTCTTATATCAGAGTAGAACATCTACCTTTTGATTTCCTTTTAGGCCGCGAATGGCGGTGGTGGAGATGGAATGCCGGTAAGTAGCTTTAGTTTATTTTCTTCTAATTCTTTTGTCATATTCTTTTTCCTCTGAAGATCTACCTCTATATCCTTCTTCCCCCCAAACATCTCCAGAGACCCCAGAGCATATTCACAACAGGAGGAGCCAAAACGTTCGGTCTTTTTTTTTTTTAACCTTCCTTTCTAATAACTGAGTGTTAAAAATAGATCCCCAAACTACTATTCCATCTGGAGACTGAGGAGCTGCATGGAAAATCATATATTGGAGACCCTGATGGACAGAAAAATCTGTATATACAATGGTGACAATCTTTTCATTTTCTAACTGACTTGGAGAAGAAGGAGGGGGAGGAGAGGGAGGGGCAGAAGAGAGAGGAGCTTAGTGAAGATGACTCAGAAAGCATCTTTCCAAAATGAGGATGTCCCAGGTATACTAGAGAAAGGAAGTCTTCACTCCCACTTTCTCATCCCTGGCTATCTCCTGTAGTCAAAGGCAGCTTTTACCCAACCAAATGCAGCTGGTGTATTCAGAGAAAAGTGGTCTTTAAATTTTGTGGTATGTGCTTTGGATAATAGCTTGACTGCCTCTTCTTTGTGGCAACCCCTGAGATATTGATACTCTGCTGTCATGTCCCCCCTCGTCCTTCTCTTCCTTAAACTAGACATACCCAATTACAGCAACCGTTCCTTATGTTTTAGCCTCCAGTCCCCTAATCATCTTTGTTGCTCTTCTCTGTACTCTTTCTAGAGTCTCAACCTCTTTTTTACATCTTGATAGAAAGACAAACTAGTAAATACAATTTTGTTGTATGTACTCGGAAGGCCTTTTCTGAATCCTCTTAAGTGATTACTTTTACACAGAGGAGGGGACAATCACAGTTTTTCTCTATGGTTGTTTTTCTCCTGAAAGATCATGACTTATGTACACGTGTATCTTTTGGATCCTTTCACTCCATATTTCTGAAATTAGACATATTTTTTTTAATCTGGAACTGAAGGAATTTATATACAAGATATGGAAGATGGTAGTGATGGCTTAATCGGAGAAGCCGTGGTTGTTCTCATATCAGAGTAGAAGGGTTAATGTTTGCTTTCCTTTTAGGGCATGCATGGCGGTGGTGGAAGCGGAACGTGGGTAAGTAGCTTCTATTTATTTGCTGCCATTCCTGAATATTCTTCTTCCACCTGAACAAGTATCCCTTTCATCCTTCTTCCTCCCTCACAGAAAGGATCTTCGTTGTGCATAGAACGTATTCACAGCAGGCAGGGTCAAAATACTGACCCATTTTTACTCTTTATTTCCAATAACTGACCTCTTGAAATAGATCCATCAGCAAAGGTGGGGTGAAGGTTTTTCTTGTGGACTGAGCCAATTGCATGGAGAAGTCATGGTTTTATCATATCAGAGTAGAATAGTTACATTTTGTTTTCCTTTTAGGGCATGCATGGCGGTGGTGGAATGCAGGTAAGATTCTTTTTTTTTTAATTTTCTTCCATTCCTTTCATCCTATTCTTTTTCCACCTGAAGATGTATTCTTCTTCTTCCTTCCCCCAAACCAGGGGTAGACAACTTTGGTTCTTTTATGACTCATGGACTTCAACTCCCAGAATTCCTGAGCCAGCATGGCAACCTCTCCCTTTCCCCTCAGCATGGCTGGCTCAGGAATTCTGGGAGTTGAAGTCCACGAGTCATAAAAGAGCCAAGGTTGCCTACCCCTGCCCCAAACTATCTCCAGAGATCCCAGAGCATATTCACAAATTCAACCGTGACTATCTTTTCATTTTCTAACTTGGAGTACAAGGATGTGGAGGAGGTTGTGTGAGAGAGAGGGTCTAGTGAAGCTGAATTGCAAAGCAGTTTTCCATAATGAAGACATCCCAGGTATACCAGGGAAAGGAAGTCTTTAGTCACTGCTCGGTTCTCATTGTTTTGAAAATCCTTTAGCCAACAAAATGCAGCTAGCGGCTGTATTCAGAGAAAAGTGGTTCCTGCTGCAATCCCACTTCATTTTCTGACATGTGCTCGGAAGGCCTTTTCTGAATCCTCTCAAGGAAGGGAGCCATTTGCATACAGCAGCTTTTTCTCTAGTTGTTTCTTTCTTTAATGATCATGACTGATTTATATGTGCAGCGTTTTGGCTCGTTTCACTCCATGTTGTGCAAATTTAGACATATTTTTTTAATCTGGACACTGAAGGAACTGATATATGGTATATGGAAGGTGGTAATAGTGATGGCATAGCTGGAGAAGTCACAGGTGTTATCATATCAGATTAGAAAGAAAAAAAATTGTTTCCCTTTTAGGGCATGAATGACGCCGATGGAGAAGGAGAGATGGTAAATAGCTTTTATTTATTTTCTGCCATTCCTTTCTCTATCCTTCTTCCACCTGAACATGCACCCATTTTATCCTTCTTGCTCCTTCACCAAAAGCATCTGTGGGCCACCTTTTGCTCAGGTCTCTTGGGTTCTGAACCCCTGAGCAGGTCTAAATAACATGGCTTTTAAATCTTCACAATAGATCTTCTGCCACCATTAAAAATAAGCAGATTCATTCATTCATTCATTCATTCATTCATTCATTCATATGTGCCATAAAATTTATATCAACTCTTGGCAACCACATCAATGAAATTTCTTCAGGATAATCTTTCCCCAACCTGGCTTTTCTTGTCCTCCCAGAATGGGACCATTAGTGTAATAAAAATACTTTCCAAATATCTTAGATGCAATCTCTCTTCCTGCTTACTGGCCATATTCTTAGAGGTTGATGAGCGTTCCATATCTGGAAGGCCACCAGTTGTCCACCTGTTTTCTGGTGAGCTCACATTCTTTAAGCCAACTCCTAAAAAAATTGTCAGAAAACTGAATAAATTTTAAAAACAAAACCTGCATATAATAATTTGACCAGCCAAATTTGTTAAGCAGCAATTGCCAAACAAAGAAATGTTTAACTTGGGGGGGGGAGGGTTGCTGTCTTCCTACATTGGTGACCACAGCACAGTTCTCCTATAAGACAATGGTCTTTTCCAAAGTTTCATTTAATAATTCTTTCCCCTTCTCTCATTTCATTTCTACCTGAAACACAAAAGAGAGGCTGATACTCAAATAAGGAAAATGACGGAAATTACAGAAATTATGGAAATAAATGAATATGCTGGCAAAGGTCCAACAGCTTTCCATGTACCTGCAAAATGAACCAGACTGTTCTGCTCAAGGACATCCAATGATCCAGCCTACTCAGCGCTTGATGGTGATGGGGGCACTAGATATAGCTTGATTTTAATTTGTTTCCTGTAATAGAATAGTTTGTTGTCCTTGGTGTGGAAAAAAACCTTTGTGAAAATAAAAAGAAATAAATCCCAATTGCACAAACATCACTTGTTTGATGTGTATTTATGAAGAACAGTTGTGATGCTGGTGTTGTTGCAGATTGTGATCCTAAATACTGCCTTAGAATACAACTAAAGTTAGATGAAAAGTCTCCCACTTTTGATTTGGGATGGATTCACTCTTGTTACCTGCACAACTATATAGTTCATGTTTCTCAACCTTGGCAGCTTCGAGATGCATGGACTCATAGAATTCCCCAACCAGCAATACTTAAATATTTGAAGATAGTTGTCAATATAGTTCAGATATTTGTCCCTATGAAAGAAAAATTATCAGATTGGTATAGTTGTTTAGGATAGTAGACTAGAAACCAGAAGATTATGAATTCTACTCTTGTCTGATCATGAAGGCAGCTGAGTAAACTTGGGCTAGTCACTCTTCTCAGCCCTAGAAAAAGACAACAGCTAGCCTCTTCCTAAAATGTTTCCAAGAAAACTGCAGGGAATAATCCATTAGTTAACCCAAGCATAAAGAAACTATAATGAATGGTGTTGTGCCCAATGGATCCTTTATAATACGATATATGGTGATATGTACTTTAATGTATATATCATTTGTGTGGAATGGTATAAGGTTTCCTGGCTGAGCAGGAGGTTGGACTAGAAGACCTCCAAGGTCCCTTCCAGTTCTATTCTATTCTATTCTATTCTATTCTATTCTATTCTATTCTATTCTATTCTATTCTATTCTATTCCATTCCATTCCATTCCATTCCATTCCATATTTTCTATTCTATTCTATTCTATTCTATTCTATTCTATTCTATTCTATTCTATTCTTCCATTCCATTCCATTCCTATTCCATTTGATTCTATTTTATTCTTTGTTCTATTCCATTCTATTCCTATTCCTTTCTGTTCTGTTCCATTCTATTCTGCATTCTATTCTATATTCCAATCTATTCTACATTCTATTCTATTCTGTTCTGTTCCGTTTCCATTCCATTCCATTCCATTCCAGCTCCTATTCTATTCTATTCTATTCTATTCTATTCTATTCTATTCTATTCTATTCTTCCATTCCATTCCTATTCCATTTGATTCCATTTTATTCTTTGTTCTATTCCATTCTATTCCTATTCCTATTCCTTTCTGTTCTGTTCTGTTCTGTTCTGTTCTGTTCCATTCTATTCTGCATTCTATTCTATATTCCAATCTATTCTACATTCTATTCTATTCTGTTCTGTTCCATTTCCATTCCATTCCAGCTCCTATTCTATTCTATTCTATTCTATTCTATTCTATTCTATTCTATAGACATTTAAGTGCTACTGAACACAGGCCAAATCACTTCTGAGTAGCTGCAAACTAAGCAAACCATGAACAAATAAAACAAACATATTGATTTTTAAAAATGGCAAAAATTGAATTATTAAAAAGTGGGGAAAGAAATGGATATATTGTGATTAAATTCTGTAAGCAAATGAAGTCATTTTTCCTCATTCAGATGTTCTCAACAAAATAACAGTCTATTCTGAAATAAGTAATTAAAAATAGAGATGAACAGTTATGTCTCATCTTTTTTTAAAACAAAAAACATCTCTCAGTCAGTTCTAAGGGGAAACCATTTAAATTGTACATTTTAAAATTCACCTTTGTAATTAATAAGATGTTGCCGTCAGATTTTCCATCTTTGCATACAGTAGTAACACTAAGCTACTCTTTTCATAAGATGCACTTTTCAGCATCTGAAGACTTACCCAAAAATCCATAAGGAGTTCCTGCTGTTTAGAAATTGGGTTGCTAACACTAAAGAATATGGTGAACAGGTACTGTATAAGGTGAGCATATATTATGGTTATATTACACCAATGTTTCTCAACCTCAGCAATTTTAAGACCTCTGGACTTCAATTCCCAGAATTCCGCAGCCAGGATGGTGGCTAGGGAATTCTGGGAGTTGAAGTCCACATGTCTTAAAGTTGCTAAGGCTGAAAAACACTGTGTTAGACATCCACATCCCATGGAGGTGATTCTTTAAGACCTCATGACCTTCTGACCACAAGGGTTAAGTAAGGTAAAGATACCAAATAAGGATTTAACTTTGCACCCCTTTCTTCATCACCTTGCCTACTCTTAGTCTAGATATTGTTCATCTGGGTCATTTCCCTCTGCTTTTGTTCACTAGCAGACGTGCACAGAGCATGGACACTTGCATACTCCTCCTGATAAGATGTATCTACGGCTAGGTTGTTAGTAGGGCAATGTTGGAAGAAGGAATCTTTGCCTACTTTGCAAGAGTGGTTTCTTAAAGTTTCTTATTTGGCGGAAATGGCAAAGATTTCGGCTTTCTTGAAAGATCAACCGCAAGAGAAGTATTTCCTGGTATGGAAAAAATGGATAGATTTTATACAATATAAGTTGGATATAAAAAAATATTATTTAGTTTTTGAATAACTTATATTTAAAATTGAAGATATTTTATAGACATTTTTTAATTTTTTTTATTTTTTTTATTTTTTCTTTTTCTGTTTATTTTTTCCTTCCTTCTTGTATTTTCTTTTTATATATTGTTGTTAATTTTATAATTTGTTTAATTAATGTATTTAGATTTGCTTATGGTTTATATGTGTTTTAAGATTTTTTTTTAATTTTTTTTTAATTAAGCCTGTATTCAGCTCTGGGAAGGTCGGGGGAGGGTAGAGGAGGGTTGGGAGGGTTTGGGGAAGGGAATTGTTTTGTAAAACTTAAAAATTTTCAATAAAAGATGTATCTAGTTAGTTGCTCACAACATATATTTTCTGCAAATAAATTTCCACTAGAGCTATAAAACAGTCATTGCTCAGATCAAATTCCCACATTCAGAAATGCAAACACAAAATGTCTCAACCTCCAGCACCTTGATCATAAAAGGATATCCCAAATATACTTTTTCACAAGGCATCTGGACTTTCTTGCTTTTCTTTGAAGATGTTTCGCTTCTCATCCAAGAAGCTTCTTCAGCTCTGACTGGATGGTGGGGGATGGAAGGATTTATATCCAAGAAGCTTCAAAGAAAAACAAACAAATCCAGTTGCTGTTTGAAAAAGCATCTTTGGGATAACTAAGACCTGGATGGCTGAGAATCTCCATAGACATAAAAGGATATTACACACACACAAAAAGTCCCATGGTTTATTTTTGGTCATGGGTAGTCTTTACGTCTTGTGTTGGAAGCAGACCATGTATTTTGGAAACATTGAAGCAAATTTAAACGCTGTTCCTTTCATTCATTTACAATGTGATAAAAACCTGCAACATTCAACACAGAGATCATGGAAGTGATCTCGGAGGTCTTCTAGTCTAACCCCTAGGTCTAGGACAATTAGCCCTGGCCACATGACAATGCCCTCTTTACCCCATGACTCCCCCCCCCCCCCGCTGCAGCCAACCCACTAGGCATATTCATGCTCAGCTGGCCCCTGCCAATGGTCCACCAGCACTCATATCCTGCTCCCTTGTCCCAGGTAATTTGCTGAGGGAAACTTGTCCCCAGCCAATTTGCAGTGTGGGACAAGTAGCCACACGTCCCAGCAGCCAATCCATGCACTGAAGTGTGAGACTCTACTTTTCTGTTGGATGCAGTCCTGCTGGCTCAGCTTCCTGAAGGGGGAAAACAGTAAAGGTTTTGTGTGTGTGTGTGTGTGTGTGTGTGTGTGTGCAAACCTGTTTTTTTCCCCTGGCAAGAAGCAGAATGATATGACCTGCTGCGCTTTGTGTGCCTGCAAGGGGCAGTGGTGGGATTCAAATATGTGAACAACTGGTTCTCTGTGTAGATGCCGCTTCTGGAAGTTCATTCTGGACCCGGGCAACAAAAAATTACCAAACAGTTCTGCAGAAGTGGTGTGAACTGGCTGAATCCCACCATAGGAAGGAAGGAAGGAAGGAAGGAAGGAAGGAAGGAAGGAAGGAAGGAAGGAAGGAAGGAAGGAAGGAAGGAAGGAAAGAAGGAGGGAGGGAGGGAGGGAGGGAGGGAGGAAGGAGTGGTGGGATTCAAAGATGTGAACAACTGGTTCTCTGTGTGGATGCCGCTTCTGAAAGTCCATTCTGGACCTGGGCAACGAAAAATTAGCTACCGGTTCTGCCAAAGTGGTGCAAACTGGCTGAATCCCACCACTGGCAAGGAGGAATGACTCGCCCACAAAATGTGAGCTAAGAGTGGGCTACAAGTGATAGGAAAATGGTGGCAACCATACCAACAACACTATGAACTGGGTGGGGCAGTGGCCAGTGTCGCTGCCACTTCTATTCTGGTCAATGGGAGTGGGGTGGCTGGGATGAGGGCAGCACTCAGGACCAGAGAAAGCAAACCAGAGGAGCGATTCAGTGGGTCCCGGCAAGCTGCTGCCTTCCAGATATTCCACACTCTTGCAGGGAGCCCCTTGGTGGGACACCATAGATTCGTGGCAAGGCAGAGGGTGGGGGGCGGAGATTCGTGGTGCTTTTGAAAGATGGAGATTGGCTAATAACAAGAGTCCTTCCAAGCATCTCCAGAAATCAGGAATTTGTTTTATTTATTTATTTATTTATTTATTTATGAGACTTATATACCGCTTTAAGTGCAAGCACTCTCTAAGCGGTATACACCAGTAAGCAATGTATATATATATATATACATTGCCCCCAACAATCTGGGTCCTCATTTTACCTACCCCGGAAGGATGGAAGGCTGAGTCAACCTTGAGCCGGTGAGATTTGAACCGCTGACCTGCTGAACACAGTCAGCTAAAGTGGCCTGCAGTACTGCACTCTAACTGCTGCGCCCCCTCGGCTCTTTTTTCAGTTTCAGGATCAGACTTCCTGCGTTCCGAAGACTATGTCAAAAAACTTTGCATCATACCCGAGTGCTGAAAATAGAGACAACTTATAAAGAAGAAAAGGAACCTGAGATGAAACACTCTGGAATGACCAATTTCAGCCACAATTTCATAACAAAGCCCCCAAGGAAGAGGCATGATAAATGTGAAGGACCCCTCTTGGGAAAGGAACTGTCAACCGTGCCCCGGC